AGATAAACACTTTAACTCATAAGTTTGCCCTAGTCTAACCTCATAAAATCAAATTATATTGAGATGATGATATTATTAATAAAATACAAAAATAAAGAAGAAAAAGTTTGAACACTCTTAAGTATAAAGTCATCAAACTATTTTAGAGTCTTTATAAGTCTTGAATTTAAATCCTATGAGAGAAATACATAACATCATCCTCTTATGTGGTGTAGGATTAAACTTAAATGAATATCCTTGATGGAAATTTGCAACTCAAAAGGTGAGAAGCACACTTTCAAGTACAATCACTAAGAAAATACCTAAGCTAGTCAATTAAACACTAAAGTTTATGATATAAATGAAAGATTGTAAATGAGACTAAAAGGTGTGGTGATTTCCCTCCACCATATTGATGGGACTAAAAGGTGGTGATTTTCCTTCCACAAAATTGATTAAAAAAATTATAAAATTGATGTAGTGGCAAGATGTCAACTCTTCTTTTGTCGAAAAAATCCTTGACAAATAAGACAAAATAATGAATATCACATGCTTGCATGATATATAATAAGATAATTGTTTTGATGCTATTTTCTATGTCTAATAGTTGATCATCATGAAATTTTTACAGGCTGCAATGCACCAGAAACCAACTATAACACTTGTCAATCCCAGAAGATCCACTAGCGTGATATTCAAAACATTCAGCAAAAAGATTTTCAGTCTCATTTACTTGTTGGAAACTTCTTTCTTGAAAAGCATTCTTTCACGTGCACACCACCTTGTTGCCGCAACTTAGAATAGATAACAGTCTTCCCAGAGGGGAAAAGAAAAATGGAGTTTATGTTTAACTTTTAATCATTACTCAAATGGCATCTTTATGAACAAACATCCAGCCATGAATCAACAAAGCCATTATTATGCCGGGATCCACTTTCATCTTCTTTTCACCTCTTCTAATAGAAACTTGACTGCTGTATGCTTCCTCCCTCAAATAGAGGTTACACCAGAATGACAAAGTCTGTAGAAACCCAGAGTTTAATACACCCATTACGAGATAACTCTCGTTAGCACCAGCTACTTGAATGTACTCTTGTGTTGGGAAAACTTGTTCAGATCCAAGTAAAAAGCACTACCCTACAATAAAAGGAAAACTTCAAATTACATTACCTGGTAAAGTGTCTTACTTGTCTTAACTTGCACAAGAACGGGAATAAGGGTCATCGGGTGTTGCTGCTGCGAAGCAGTGTCAGTCTCTGAGACTTAACCACAATCTCCCTAGGAACTCTCACCTGACATATCTAAGAAAAACAGGCGTCTGACCCAAATCCGGTGTTGACAGCATGCACATTCGAGCCTTGTGTCTCATCTGCGCCATCTGTTCACTGTGGATCCTTGGTTTCACAATCTTGGCTGGAATCTCTAACTCATGTGAAGTGACCGTGTACACATCATCTTGAAGAAACCTAGAGATCAAATTTGCAGGTTGCATCCCATCCATTGCTTTTGCAATCATCTCCACTGCAATCATTTCGTATCCGTCCCCAATTCCGCTGCTTCTTGACTGGGCGTTATAACCGTAAGCAGTCCTGATGGTTCGCCAACTTCTAAATAGTGCCACAAAAAATGGAGAACAAGAGGCTCCTCAATACGCAGTAGCACTTTTGCTGTGTCTGACCCTTCCGTCAAAGAATCCAAATCTTGCACTTCAAGCGTCCCATAGGCATGCAACCTTGCAAGTCCGTATTGAATCAAACCCTCTTGACATGCTTCCTAAAAAAGTCCTACACACTTTTGTAGGAAATGGCGAACTCCGTCCCAAAGTGTTAACTGCCATTGGCCTGTACTCTCGTATTCAACAAAGTAAGCAGTTGCTTTGCTGCGGTAACTTTTCAGAAATAAACGATTTTAATTGCAGTGTTTATGCGACGCTCAAACAGAGTGTGCGAAACCCAGCCATCAAACAACGCTAAAAACCCATCCAAAAGAGATCTTGTTATTGACAGGTGAATCAAACCTATTAACCAAGTTGTCCTGCACCACCTGGCATTCGTCGTCCGTCTTAATCAAACGATCAAATACCTCCTCGATCCCACAGTCACTGGATATTAACTCAAGTAGTTTAACATTTAGAACGCCATCTCTCCCCACACGGTCAGCTCGGGGATACAATAGCTCACTTAGTTCTGCCAGGAAGTGAAATCCAACCTACTTAAACAACCAGTATTTGGCCCAAACCTGAAGTGGCATGCTTCTTGTTAGGGACAAATGCATATCACCCCCCTCTTTTACGTAACTACCCTTTTGCCACGCCCACTCCTCACTGAATTGTGCTTTCTACCCTCCTGTGCTACCTCCTTCAACTTGTCTAGGATGAAGAATCTGCTGAGGAGAACAGCTTTGAAGCAGCACCATGTCACGTGCATCGGAATTGACTGGTTTCCTGGATACAGAACCATTAGCGGCATCTAAGCCTGCGGAGCCCTCCATTCCAATCCGTCCCATAGGAACAAGATACAGAGCCGAACGGTCCACTGCAATCTGAGTCTTTCCAGGGCCAGAAACATCGAAAAGTACCACCAGGCCAGGGTGTGTTATGTCCACTTGATCCAGAATGTATGTGGAGGCAGGCAATGCCAGAGAAGGCAAGGTTTAGGACTGTCAGGAGCTTGGAAAACCGTCCCTTTTGCAAACGTCTGGATAGCTGGCTTTAAAATCACTCGGCTTAGCAAGTACTTGATCTGCTCTATGTATTTGGTTCCATACTTGTCCAAGAGAGCTTGCACATCTCGATGGACGGCATTGTAGCGATCCAGCAGCAGCGTCAACAAGATCAAACAATTAAGCTTTGAACGAGCACATAGAAGGCAAGGAGACCAATGAACACACAAGTAACCAGATCCACAAGGAAGCACACGTAAGTAAAGGGCAAGGGCAGTAGGCGTTGCAAAAACAAAATTTGTCAGAACAAGCCAAGACCAAACCTTTGAGTAGGATAAGCTTTTCTTCCCTCAGCCGGCCCTCCTTCTTCCTCAGCTGGTCCTCTTTTTTCTGCCAATACTGCTGCTCCTCAACCTCACATATTTGCCTCTATTTGCCTTTCGATCGAATATTTCAGAATCAGAGTTTAAAGTAACCCTTTTTATTATTAAAATTAATAAGAATATAAGTAGCAATACCATTTGGAACGTGTTTTAATGTAAGCCACTTCAAATATTGATTGTAAGCATATAATATTCTAGAAACGTAATAGTCACCCCTAAAAATCTCTTTTCTTTAGTAAAACACGAACGCAACATTAGAAAGTTTTAGTTAATAACAACTCAAACTGAGCTTTACTTGAGCTTAAGAAATAAAAAGTAAACTCAAAACTAATCTAAACTTAATGTTATTGAGTAAGCAAACCGAAATGAAACATAGCACAGAATATACTTTTATGCCGTTTACTAACTCTAGCGCCGGCACACCATTCCCCTGCTTCCGTCCCCGCTGTGACACTCCATTGACGGCAAAGCCATCCCTGCCTTGCTCTTCATCTCAATCACATCCTCGCCGGCACCGAGCTGTGCTGCGGATTCCTGGAACCGCGACACCTCGCAATCGGAGTTGAAGAGCGATGACACCGCGAATCGCTTCTCCCCGCCCATGACGGGCATGGCGACGCCGATCTTCACCCGGCTCCGGAACCCCGCCGCGTACGTCTGGCCGAGCACCCCGTGCACGTCGCGCGACAGATCCCCAAACTTGAAATTCACCTCGAGGTGCGCGAAGCAATCGTCGGCCGTGATGTCGTAGCGGTGGACGCGCGATTCCTCCGCGGTGATGGGCACCACCCTCACCACCGCGCGGAAGCTCCCGGGCCTCTCCACCGCGATGGCATTGGCGAGCGCAATGCGCGAGATCTTGAGGTCCCCAGCAGAGGGGAACTCCACCGCCGAGCCCTGCCCCGCCGGGACGAGGACGGGGCTCTCGTCCAGCGCTATGGAGATGTGATCCACGGAATCGTCCCAGATCGAGGCCCTCTTGGCGCCCACGTAGAGCTTGTGGCTGCCAAACATGATCCCGAGCGCCTGGACCCAGGTGAAATCGCGCGTGGATCCGGCCCTGTTCTTGCCGATGAAGTGCGCATTGATGTGGAGATCTCTGTCCGAGACCAGGCAGAAATCCTTGTCCTTCTTGCCGTGGAAGTAGAACATTATCCCGTCGCCGCCGATGAATCGTGGGTCCTGGCACACCGCTCCCGGCTTGTCACACGCTGGATCATCTCAATCGAATCGAATGGGCCACACAGACGAGAGAAACGAGATCAGATTCGCGACAGCAGCAGAGAGAGGGACTCGTGAGGGTTAGAAGACCCACCGCAAATCGGCTTGCAAAACTTGCAATCGACCTGGCACGCCTTGGGGCATCCCGCGGGGCATTTGTGGACGACGCCATAGCAGGCCTTGAAGAAGGGATCCGAGCAGCTCGCGGACCAGGCGCGAGCGCCATGGATCGAGCAAAACAACAGCGCGATCGCCACACCCAGCACCACTGCCGCTCTCGCCATTTCTCTCGCAAATCCAAAGCCAACTGCCCCAAATTTACGCGCGAAACAGAGCCCTAGCCCTAATTCTAAGCTATCTCCGTTAGTGGGCTCTGTGCTGCCTACCTGACAAAAGGAGTGTATATTATGAATGTGAGGGGTCGGTGGAGCGTCATATGAGCTTCTTTACAGAGGCCACTGTCAGTGCCAGGACATGGTTGGAAAGAGTAGAAATATTTTGTATTAATTTTTCTATCGTATTGCATGTACACAACACGACCAGATTGTACGCTTTTGTATCCACGCTAATGTTGTATTCGATATGTTCTTTTGCCTGGGTAGATACGCTCCTGGGCTACGGATTCCGTATTTCGCGGTGTCCTTGCGCGGTCGTCGCAGATCAACGCTAAAGAGCAGAGCTGGGGTTCGATTCTCGATATGGTGGTCAAGGTTAGTAAACGGGTATTGGTCAAATTTGGTCAAAGGAAACGTGGCCGTCCATTTGGAGGAGGATTTGGTCTTCTTTTCGGACAGGAGTCCAAGCTTTCTAGGCATTTTTCCAGCAGCAATGAGGAGCAAATTCTTTGCCGGTGTCGCGAGGAGGGCATTTGGATCGGCTAGATCGACGCGGCCTCTTCCTCTCAAAGGTACAATCGATCTAGATCTGGAATGGAGGTTTTTAGATCTGATAGATCTGGGAGGGGTAATGCTTTCGTGCTGCGAGTGGAATGCGGGATCTGGAGAGCTGTGCCTGAGCTTTTTGGCCAGATTTCTGGCTAGGTTAGCTCGATTTGCTTCACAGTAGCGTCTCACACGGAATTATTGTTTATCTTCGTGTAAAGAACTTACGATCGTTTTTTTACTTGCCTTTAAAGATGGGAGAGCTTTTGGAAGTGCCGCGATTTGCAAAGGAGTTCCTCAGTCCGTGCTAAGTTTTGCTGCTCGTGCTACTCACGAGAGCACGGCAAGCGCGAAATGGATTTTAGCTGCGGCTGCTCTTCCAGCTGCTGGTAAGATCTAGAGGAACTTTATCCTGGCAAGAATTGTTTTCTTTGAGACAATCTATAGTTCTCACTTCTTCCTTTTTGTAAGCAGTGCTGGGATCCGCGGTTTCAACTGTGCACGCCGCAGAGGTATTTGTGTTTTTTTCACTAGTTCGGGAAAGGAGCTTACAATGTTTGCTTTCGATTTTTTCTTTGTTTTTCATTGACAGATTGAGCGAACTTTTATTGCTATCAAGCCGGACGGAGTACAAAGGGGTCTGGTAATTTATTTTTTTTCTTTGAAGAACTTTGAAAAAGCTGCTTTTCAGTTTGATCAACTTTATCGTCGTTTTTCACTTCTTTTTTCTTTTGTTTTCACCAGATTTCCGAGATAATTTCTCGTTTCGAGAGGAAGGGCTACAAGCTGGTGGCAATCAAAATCCTGACTCCTACCAAGGAGTTCGCTATGCTCCACTACGACGATCTTAAGGAGCGTCCATTTTTCAATGGACTCTGCGATTTCCTGAGCTCGGGTCCAGTAGTTGCCATGGTGAGCTTTTCGGCTTTTATTTTTATTGACCGCAACTATTCTTCCAGGTATGGGAAGGTCAAGGAGTGGTAAAATACGGAAGGAAACTCATTGGAGCTACAAGTCCACACAACTCGGAGCCTGGAACAATTCGCGGTGATCTGGCGATCTCTGTTGGAAGGTAGTGAGCTCTTTTATTAATTTTTTTCTCTTCTAGAGTTGACTTCTTCACTCAAACTATTACCATCAGGAACATCATTCACGGAAGCGACGGGCCGGAAACCGCAAAGAACGAGATAAACTTGTGGTTTAAACCGGAGGAACTGGTCGACTACGGCCTTGATTCCGAGAAGTGGCTGTACGAGCCATAAAACGCCGCGAAGAAACTTGGGATCGAGAGACGAGAAAACTGGAGACGCCGTCCCAGAGAAAGCGAAAGAAGGAGAAGAAGAAGAGAACCAAGAAGTTCTAGCTGGAATCTCCAAGCAGAGACATTTTTGATAAAACCAACACAAAATAATTCACAAAGGAAAGCTCTGCCGGCTTTCATGATCCATGCTCGTCGTGCCTTTTTCCACAGATGCAGCTGAAAAGTTCAGTCTTTCTCCAGAAACGCAAGCGAGCAAATCAAATCAAGTGCGAGACGTATTTCATGTGTAGTGCTCCTGGAGTGAAGGCTTTTGACCCGTCATTCTTTCCCTCCCACCTCGTGCTCTTTAGAGTTTTGTCAAGCTTGGATGTCGCTCTCTCTCTTTCGTTTTCTCGATCGAGGACCCGGGCCCGAGAAGTTTGCTGTGGTTTTGCTGCGTTTAGAAAACGTGGAATCCTGGTGGCCGTCACTCGCGGGAAAGGAAAAAGGAACGTTTTTTTTGTTCCCTTTTTTCTGGCTCAGGGGATCAAGAAAAAATGGGTAGTCGGCGACAAGCACTTCCATGTCGTGATTCACTCGAACTAGCAGAAAGTTATTTGATTCTTGGGCTCTAGAATCATTCCTCCAGCGCTTGCATGCCTCCGGATTCATTGCCTCTATTCTTCCATTCATTCATTCATTTTTTCTGGAGCGATGTCGACGGATTTGGAGACGGGTGGTCTCGCTGGATCGGATCAAAGCCACCCAAAATCGAGCACAACGCGATGGGTAAAATCGGTGAGTGAAGAGAGAGAGAGAGAGAGAGAGAGAGAGAAGATCTCTTGTTCTATGCATATTCATTCTTTGTACCTACTTGAATTTTGGCAGTGGAAAACGATTACGCTGGCGTACCAGACGCTGGGAGTTGTGTATGGCGATCTGGGAACTTCGCCTCTATACGTCTACCCCACCATGAATTTCAAGTCGCCGCAGGGCGAGGATTTTCTGGGAACTTTCAGCATCATCTTCTGGACGCTCACGCTCATCGGCCTCGCAAAGTACGTCTTCATTGTTCTCCATGCGGACGATCACGGCGAAGGTTTTTTTTTTCGCAACTTTCTTTCCTTGTTCTTGGAAAGCTCTTTAAAGTTTGATCGTTTCTCTTGGAACCGTATAGGGGGAACGTTTGCGCTCTACTCGCTCCTTTGCCAGCATTTGAAGACGACGATCAAGGGCCACAAGTATGGACGAATGCTGTCGGATTCCAAGCTCTCGCACTTTAGCAAGACCAACGAGGCCGAGAGCCCGACCGCCTTTGCACGCTTCATTGAGAGGCGAAAGTCCGCTCAGAGGCTCTTGCTCTTCGTTGCCATGCTCGGGACTTGCATGCTCATTGGCGATGGAATTCTTACTCCTGCCGTCTCGGGTATGGTTCTTATGTTTAGCTTTTTCAAACTCTCAAGTTTATGTTCTACAGTGTTGTCAGCCATGGCTGGAATCGCTACAGCCACACCGAAAATAAACCAATGTGAGTCCAGTCGTTGCTTTGTCTTTGCATTGCTTGTTTTGGATTCTGCTCTCTCGCTTTCTGATTTGATACCTTTTTTTTTTGTCTACAGCTACTGTGGTTTGGCTCTCAGCTGCTGTTCTCGTCGCCTTGTTCTTGTTCCAGAGATTTGGAACAAAGTGCGTCAGTTTTGTCTTCTCTCCTATCATGGCCATTTGGCTCGTCACCACCCCTTTGATCGGGCTCTACAACATTGCCATCCATTACCCCCAGATCTACAAAGCTCTCTCCCCTCACTACATCGTCACCTTCTTTCAGAGAAATGGGAAGGATGGCTGGCTCGCTCTTGGTGGAACCGTGCTTTGTATAACAGGTTCGTCTTTCAGTATCTTCTTCCAACGCTCCAAGTTTTCTTCGTCTTGTAGGCGCCGAGGCAATGTTTGCAGACCTTGGACACTTCACAAAGTCCTCCATCCAAGTAAGCTTTGCGAAAGTTTTATATCATCGTATCGATGATAACGATTGATTTTGTCTCCCAAGGTTGCTTTCGCGTTTATGATCTATCCCTCGGTGCTGCTAACTTACGCCGGACAATCGGCATACCTGGTGAGACATCCAGGCGACCACCGAGAGGCATTCTACAAGTTTCTTCCTCGTTCCATATACTGGCCGATGTTCGTGGTGTCGACGCTGGCGGCTATAGTCGCCAGCCAGGGACTCATCTCGGCAGCGTTCTCCATCATCAAGCAATCCATAGCTCTCGACTATTTCCCTCCGGTGACCATGGTTCACACCTCTCAAGACAAGGAAGGCCAGGTTTACTCTCCCCAAGTTAACTATTGTCTCATGGTTCTCTGCCTGGCCGTGCTTTTTGGATTCCAAGGTGGTCCAGAGATTGGCAATGCTTTTGGTACGCAAACCTTCTGGTTTTTCTTTCATCCAACACAAGATTCTCTTCCAGGTGTGGCAGTCATTTGGGTGATGCTAATCACATCCTCACTCATAACGCTGGTGATGCTTATCATCTGGAGAACTCCAGTGATCCTAGCGCTCGTCTACATCACAGTCTACGGGACCTTGGAAGGAGTGTATCTCTCGTCAGTGCTCACGAAGCTCCGCGAGGGTGGCTGGTTTCCTTTCGGCATTGCCGTCATCCTGGCCTTGGCGATGTTTAGTTGGCACCACGGCCGCGAGAAAATCTCCGACTACGAGATGATCAACAAGGTGACCGTGGACAGCGTCGACGAGCTCTTCTCTCGAGCGGCCAAGCAGCGAGTTCCGGGGCTGTGCCTCTTCTACACGGACCTCGTCCATGGCGTCCCCCCGATCATGAGACACTATGTAAATAACGTTCGCTCGCTCCACCAGGTGATCATCTTCACCACCATCCGCTACGTTCCCGTCAGGACGGTTCTCCCGGACGAAAGATTCATCCTGGAGCGATGCGGCTACGCGGGGGTGTACCGCTGCGTGGCCCAGTATGGCTACATGGACGTGCTGGAAGGGGAGGAGTTTGTGAGCGACGTGATCGAGGCTCTGGCGATCTTCGTGGCTTCTCGGGAAGATCACGAAGAACTCGATAGCGATGGCGATGGCGCTGCTCTTGTAAGTGATCTGTGGCGAGCAAAGGCCGCCGGCGCTGTTCACGTCATGGCAAAGGCTGATTTCCGGATGAGCGAGGAGAGGAGCGGCTGGTTCGAGCGGCTGGTTCTAGACGGCATCTACAGATTCCTAAGGAATAACTGCCAGATGCCCGTGGCGGCGCTCAAGATCGCCCCCCAGAATGTAATTGAGATTGGAATGATGTACGAGATTTAAAAATGGAATCTTGGTCGGTTTTACTTGAGTTGACTGGAAGGGACTGTGACCGTGGACTAAAGTTGACTGGGACTGTGACTGGGAGATTCTCTGACGTGACTTGTTGGAGGGAGCACTAGAGGGGATGCAAATCTTTTGATGCCGCGTTAGTGGAGTGCTGAATCGATGCCACTAGCGCCATTTATCGTCAAGCACATGAATCTTAAGCTCAGCGCTCTCTAGCAAATGATAAGAGGACAGCAACTTTACGATTTCCTTTGGAATTTCTTAGAGTATCGCTAGCAGTGCCACTAGCACCAATGGAGGATTGCCGGTTCAAGGCCAGGACGGTCGCCATCTGTGCGAATATACGGCGAGAGGGTATAAAAGATGGAACGATGAGCGGGGAGAAAAAATTCTGTGCGTTTCGAGTGTGTTTTCGTGGGGTTGTGTATTAGTTTTAATGGCTCCAAACCCACAGGAGGGAGCCTCATTTGTCAGCCTTGCGCTATGGCATTGGATGCAACCATTGATTAACCTTGCGAACAAAAGGCCTCTAGAGGTAAGTTTGTCTGAATCACATTAACTCAAGCTAACATTGCTGTGACCAGATGGATGATTTATATGATCTTTGCAAAGAGGAGACCACTGTTTTCAGCGACAAGCGCTGGAACAAAGCCAGGGAGAAGAACAAGAAAGGGTCTGTATGGAGAGTGATGCTCTGGTTTCAAGGAAGAAAACTTTTGTGTTATGCTATGACCACCAGGATTCTGTGGCTTGCTTGTGGAATCTTACAGGTAAATGCCATGTTAAATTTCTTCTACAATCTTGTTTTATCTGTGTCACAGGTCTACGCGGTCAAAGCTTTGGTACTGACCGTTGAACACCCGTCTTCCATGAGATGGTGGAAAGGGTTTGTACTGCTGCTCGCGGCGGTCGTGTTTCCACTCTTGCAAATGCTGTGTCAAAGCTATCTCTCGGTCGCGTTTATAAGGCTTGGCGTGCAAATTCGAGCAGCGGTGTGCATGGCCGTGTTTAACAAGGTTGAAATTTGACTGAAAGTGTTGACTGGTCCTTTGACTCAAGTTGACTGAATGGTGCAGATCCTTGTCATGAATGCGGTGTCGCTCAGCCACACAAGCAATGGCCAGCTTCTCAACATTATCGGGAATGACATGCAAAAGCTCATGGACTTTTTGAATGCCTTTCCCTTCGGTAATCATAAATGTCATAGAAACTCTTGTACTAATCTCTAGTGTCTGTGTAGTTGCTGTGCTGATCATCGATGTGCTGGTTATCACTGGTGTTGCGGCGTATGAGATTGGGATCTCAGCAATTCCTGGGATACTGATAATTCTCCTGGCACAATTCTTTCAAGTTAAGTTCCTCTGAGATTCTCTAAGCTAAAAAGCTTTTGTCTTTTAGATTGGACTTGGGAGGAGGATCAAGAGCCTCAGGAGGAGAGCACTGGTGTTCATCGATGCCAGAGTCCGAATGGTCGGGGACGTGGTGACGGGAATTAGAGTGATCAAATACAATGGTTGGGTTGTGCCATTCTTGAAGCAAATAGCCATCACTCGGGCCCGGGAGCTAAGCTGGATAGCAAAAGCATCTTTTATGCGGGGAGTGGCCACGGCTGTCGGGGTGAGATATATTATTATACTATTTTTCAAGATTCAAACTATTTTTTCTTTATAGGATGCTTACGTACCATTAGCTTGTTTGGCCACCTTTGGCGTCTATGTTTTGCTCCACGGGGGGAATCTAAACGCAAAAAGTACATTTACAGTTTTGCCCTTCTTGGGAGTCTTGTATAAATCAGCCGGCTCAGCAAGACCAGGTATGTAAATATCGTTTCAACTTCACATAACAAAGTTGATGCTAGGGTTCTTAATATTTGGAGAAGCAATGATAGGCATGGATCGTGTACAGAGATTTCTTAATATCCATGTTGAGAACACCAAAGTAATTCAGACAACTTTTTTCAATGCGCCAATTACAATATAATGTATAATTGCAGAAATCTGCATTGCACGCAAATGCAACGGTCAAGGCAGTAAGCTGCTCTTTCACCTGGGAACCCTCGGGCACTAAAGGATCCAGCAGGCAACTTGGTCAACCAGTTCTAAGAAACATCAACCTTGAGGCTAGAAAAGGTGAGCTAGTTGCCATTGTGGGATCCACTGGGAGTGGAAAGAGTTCTTTGCTTCTGGGACTGCTAGGCGAACTAAAGGTTTGATGAAATGCAATAATTTAAATTTGAAATTCATTTCTTTTGGTAATAATTTCAGGTACTCAGAGGCTCTTACAGTTTACAACAAGATGCTGTTTATGTACCGCAACAGCCATGGATAATAAATGACACTGTTCGTAATAACATTCTTTTCGGCAGTGATTTTGATTTGGAGCGATATCAAAGTGTTCTCTCTGCGTGTGCTTTGGATCAGGATGCATCTTGCTTCCCAAATGGGAGCGAATCTGAAATCGTAAGACTTGATTCCTCCTCCATTAGTTTTTCTTAACTTTTTATACGTCACCAGGGTGAAAGAGGAATAAACTTAAGTGGCGGACAGAAAGCTCGCATAAGTTTAGCCCGGGCATGCTACAATGCCTCACCAATTGTTCTTGTGGACGATCCATTTGCGGCGGTGGATGTTCCAACAACACAGCATTTGATCCAGCACGTCTTGGGTGGCGTTCTCAAGGGCCGAACGGTGATCATCGTCACCAACAACGAGATGTGCTTGACAATGTGTAACAAAGTTTACCGCCTCGAGTATTCCACCCTACATCTCAGCGAGGCCGAGAAGGAGATCAACCGAGGCCTGGTCAGTTACAACACTAGATCATCCCTTGAGAGCTCCCAGCAATCGATTGAACATACCTCTCCCGTGGTTCTAAACACCACCAATGCTCAACTCCAAGGATCTAGTGGATCGCTGGTCAAGAAAGAGATCAGTCTGGCAAGTAGAGGAATCGCTGCAAAAGACTTGAAGGAGTACTTTAATACAATGGGATGGTAAGTACTTGAATCGATATGAACTTCCTCACTATCTGTTTGTTTTTTTTCTTCAGGGCACTGGTCATCCTTGTGGGAATAACCTTTGTTATCACGCAGTGTGCTTTAACGGCTGGGGATTACTGGCTAAGTGTGTGGACGGATAAAAAATACAACTTGCAAGCAGGTCTATATGTTGCAATTTATGCTGCTCTTGCAGTTGGGTTCCTCATTTTTGCTTCACTTCGAGTCTCTCTATTTACTGAAGCCACAAACAATGCTGCGAGGAAGTTACACTCGAAAATGGCTGAGAATATCTTACGCTCGCCCGTCACCTTTTTTGATCACGTGAGTTTTCATCTTTTGAAGCTTCACACTGTATATTCATGAGCATGAGTTCAACTAACGAACGAGCAGAACCCCACAGGGAGGATTATCAACAGGTTTACAAAGGATCAGTCAGCAGTGGATGAAATACTACCTTTTACTTTGCAAGTAAGTCGTGATCTGATGCCAGAGTTTCTTTCTAACTAATTTTGTGTTCTTGGCAGCAAGTTATCGCATTCGTTGGCTCTTGCTTGGGGGCACTTGCTTTGATTGCCATTCTCTTGCCGTGGTTTATGCTCGTCACTCCAATTTACCTTATGGTTTTTATATACATGAGGCAAAGATATGTGGCTATTTGCTGCGATGTGAAAAGACTTGATGGAGTGTCTAGATCTGCCGTTTATGCACATTTGGTTGAGTCTATTGAAGTAAGTCTAATTCAAGAACATGGATCCAAAACTAGTTTTCATGTTTTAAAAAAATTCTGCAGGGAGTTGTTTCTATCAGAGCTTATGGAGCCGAGAAAAGATTCATGGATCGTTTTGTTAATCTGGTAGACAAAAACAACCAAGCAGGCATGATGTACGCGCATGCGTCGAGATGGTTCGCTACGAGGATGGAGATGACGGTGATTTTCAACTTGGCAGTGGTGGCTGCATTTGTGATTGCACTACGAAACTCCATATCTCCTGGAATTGCAGGTAAGAGAAATTCAACTCTTGATATCATCTGAAGTTATATCCGAGATTTACCTTGAGCAGGAATAATACTGGTTCAGAGCCTGAAATTGTCGGGACTTTTCCAGTTTACAGTCCGAAGCAGTGCAGAAGCCGAGAACCAGTTTACGAGCGTGGAGCGTATACAAGAGTACACACATTTGCCTGTGGAGCCGGATTGCAAAGACTCGAGCAAATTATCTGTCCCCAACGAGTGGCCCCACCAAGGAACCATTGAGTTTAGGAATTACACCATGGCGTACAGAGAGGATCTATCACCGGCCCTCAACAACATCTCCTTCACGGTATAAGATCATGAGATATCTCATGTTATTAACGTAACCATTCAGGTGGAAGGAGGAGAGAAGCTTGGGATTCTGGGAAGAACTGGCAGTGGCAAATCGAGCCTTGTCGCTGCCATCTTCCGGATGGTCCAGAACGACGCGTGCAGTGGCTCCATAATAATCGACGATCTTGATATCCAGAAAGTTAAGCTGGACGACTTGAGGCGGAGACTATCGATCATCCCGCAAGATCCTGTCTTGTTCCGCGGCAGCCTTAGGTTCAACTTGGATCCTTTCTCCGAGCACAGCGACAAGGACATGTACGAGGCCCTGGCCAGGGTTCACGTCGCGGAAAAGGTGAAGAGCATTGGAAATGGATTGGATAGCGAGGTTACAGAGAATGGAAACAACTTCAGCCTTGGAGAAAGGCAGCTCATATGCTTGGCCAGAACTCTACTACGAAAGTAAGTATATAGAAACCATTTTGCTCTTTTCTTGATAGTTTTCCTTTCCTGAGTATATGATTGGATTGTGATCAAAGGTCTCGCATTGTCATACTCGACGAGGCCACCGCAGCTATTGACAACAAGACGGACAGACTTATCCAGTCTACAATGCGCGAAGTTTTCGAGAGCTGCACTTGTTTAACAGTGGCTCACAGGATCAACACCATAATTGACTGCGGCATGGTGCTTGTTTTGGATACAGGGGGTCATGTTGTGGAGTATGATTCACCCTATAATCTTCTCAAGGCAGAAGGTACATTTTCATTGTGTTTTTATTTCTGGTTTTTCACTTTCCCTTGATCAGAAGTTTCAACAGATTCTAAGCCAGGTGTCTTTGCAAATATGGTAGCACAGTGTGGAGAAACTATAGCAGCAGAGCTAACAAGAATGGCTGAAGATGCAATGGTTGCAAGACAACAAAACCAAATATAAAAACTTTAATTAATAATTAAGGCAACATCTCTGTGCCTTTCCAAATAATAATAATAATTATGCCCATGTAGACACTCATCAAATCCCCCAGACATCTTGCGCATCTCCTTGCCACCTATCCTCCTTGTCCTTTTAGAACCAACGGCCTGTTTCTCTGCTAATCCCTTACTAAAAAAGCTGACTTTGGGCAGCACAATCTTGTAAGCTCTTTCAGCAATGTGACTATCTCTTTGGTCACAACTCTAATTGTTCTTCCTACAAGTTATCAAGGAGCAGTACTAAAAAAAAACAAAACAAAGTGAAGCACAACATCAAGTTCGGCCATTTGAAGCAACTCTGAATTTGAGAGATCAGTGTTTGTGGACAAATAAGACAGCAACAATGATACATGTCACACGCTTGTGTGATATACAACAAGATCATTGTTTTGATGCGATTTTCTATGTCTAATGGCTGATCACCATGAAATTTACAATGCGCCACAAACCAACTGGAACACCAGAAGATCCATGATATTTCAAACATCTGGCGAAATGATTTTCAGTCTGATTTACTTGTTGGAGACTCCTTGTCACCAAGAACCAAAAAGAAAAAAAATGAATCTCATAAGCTGTCATTGTAAGGACAAACTTACCTCGATTTCCATGCTTGGCATGGATTGGTACAGCTGGCAGTCCTAGAATGGTGATAAAGATACCATAAAAAATGAGTGAAAGAAAAGATATATATGGCTCCCATGGCCATGAAGCACTCTTTCACACCACATAAACTTAGAATATTTTTTCTTGATACCAAAACTGAAATATATAATGCAGTTTATATTTAACTTTTAATCATTATTCAAATGGCATATTTATGAACAAAATAGCCATGAATCAACAAAGCAAAGATGTTACCTTTATCAATAACCTTAATGTTCTTCTCATGAAATAAAAATTTAGGCTAGCTTTTATTTTTGAATTTTTTTTAGTTTTCATTTTATTATTTATAGCGCACTTTATCTCTCTCCCCTTAAGCTAATTAAAAAAGGGACAATCCTTTAGTGTTTATTTTATCCCTATTTATCCATAGTGATGATATATTTAAATTTCATCCCATAATTATATAGATTGATGGTATATTTAAATTTTATTCCATAATCATATATGTTATATTATCCCTCCATCATGTACTAATTATAAACAACAGCTTTAAAATCTTAACAAGTTTCACTTAAAAGGAGTATAATTCAATATGACCATGGATAAAAGATGTGCAAATAACAATATTAACATTACAATAAACAATCACAAAAGAAGTAAAGTAATATATAAATTTCTCACTTAACAATACAATCATTTAATGATACAATCATGAAAATAATAGAATAAGAATAGTATAATGAGTCAAATCATTTAGCAATACAATTAAAGAACTTAATTCTCCCCTTCCTAAAAAATGTTATTCAAATTATAATTAAAACTCAAAAACACTCTTTTTTTATATCATCCTTAATTTCTTAGGTGTAGTACATGTGATTATGGGATAAGATTTAGATATACTGTCACTATAGATCTTTAGATCTTTAGAACCTTTAGGGATAAATGGATAAAATAACCATTAAGCTAATTGCCTTAAGTAATTATAGAATGAGATTTGGATATATTATTACTTTAGAACCTTAAGGGATAAATGGGGATAAAATAACTACTACATTAAGCAATTGCCCCTTTTTCAGTTAGGTTAAGGGTAGAGAGATTAAATGTGTTACATCAAGTAATAATCACTTATTTTAATAGAAGTTTCCTCCCTAAAATAAACCTTCTCCAGATTGATAAAGTTTGACACCCATTAAGAAAAACTTCAAAAGCTTGTTCAGATCCAAGGTAATAAAAGCATTATTGAAAACATCAACAGATGACATATTCCTTACCTGGTAAAGCATTTTACTTGTCTTAACTTGCAGGAATAGGGGTCATCATGTTGCTGGTATGAGGTGGAGTAAGCAATATTGGTCCCTAAGACTTGTCCTTGACTCTCCCGTGTGACATATCCTAGAAAAACAAAGAATCTGATGCAACTCTAGATTCACCTATCCATAGGACATCCCTTTAATGTACTTATATCATGATGCATTTACAGCATACACATATGAGCCTTTACTATGCTTGTATCTCATTGGTTTCACAAGCTTCACTCTTCTAGTGGAATCTCAACTCATATGATTGTGTATTGAGGCAAGATAAGACAAGAGAGAGAATAGACAACTAGTGCTATATCTCCAAGGAATACTATTCCATGCCCGAACAAGATCAAATTTGCAAGTTGCATCCTGTCCATTACTTTTGCAATCATCTCCACCAATCATTTCATATCCTTGGCCAATTCTCGATAAACCTGCTGGCTTGCCAACTGTCAAATAGTACCCTAAGGAATGGAGAACAAGAGGCTCCTCAACAAGTAGAACATTCCCTGTGTCTGATTTGTCCTTCAAGGAATCCAAATCTTGCATTTCAAGCGTCCAACGGGGATCCAACCTCGCAAGTCCGTGTTGAATTAAACTCAAGCTGGGGTTCTTGACGGCAACATACGCAGCATTCAATCCATAGAATTGAGTATAAGACTCAGTTTTTCAAGAGCTTGCTAAAAAAGTCCTTCACACTTTTGTAGACTGTTCTGTCAAGAAGTGGCGAACTCCGTAAAGTGTTAACTGCCATTGGCCTGTACAATCTAGTAGAAACCTCGTTGGCGTATTCAACAAAGTAAGCAGTTGCGGTACCTTTTCAGAATAAACGATTCTAATTGTGAAACAAAAAACCTATACCACTAGCGCTGGAATCTTTAAGGATCCGACTAGCATAATCCTTCAGGTCGGCCTCCTCATACAATCCCCCAAAGTGAGAACACTGCAACTGAAAGTCTCTGTTTGAGTGTAGCAGAAACATTGCGTGCAACAAAAACCATACCTCCTCCTGTATTCTGGTGCGAAACCCTAACAATGCTGGCACAGACACATCCAAAAGAGATCTTGTTCTTGCTGTAGGTAACTCAAACCTATTAACCAAGGTGTCCTGCACCCCCTGGCATTCATCGAGTATAATCGGCCCCCTCTTATGCGTCTTGATCAAACGATCAAATACCTCTTCGATCCCGCAGTCACTGGATACTAACTCGAGTAGTTTAACACTTAGAACGAAAGGTCATTCTGGAACGCAAATCAAACCTGACTTGGCCCTGGCATGCTTCCTACTACCTCCTTCAACTTGTCTAGGATGAAGAATTTGCTGAGGCGAACATCTTTGAAGCAGCACCGCGTCACGCGCATCGGAATTGACTGGTTTCCTGGATACAGAACCATTAGCCGGCTAACCAGCGCATCTAAGTCTGCTGCAGAGCCCTCCGATCCAATCCGTCCCATAGGAACACCAACAAAATATAGAGCCAAACGCAATCTCATATAGTGTTCGAGTCTTTCCAGAGCCGGAAACACCGAGCTTGTAACATTGCGACCACCTGAATCAGGCAAGGACGTGCTATATCCAATTGATCCAGAATGTATTTGGAGGCCGGAAAAGGCTCCTCGAGGCAATGCCAGAGAAGGCAAGGTTTGCGAGTGTCAAGGAGCTTGGAAAACCGTCCCTTTGCAAACGTCTGGATAGCTGGCCTTAAAATCACTTGGCTTAGCAAGTTCTTGACCTGCTCTATGTATTTGGTTCCATATTTGGTCCAAGATAGCTTGCACATCTGCTTGATAAAGATCAAACAATTAAGCTTTGAACAAACACATAGAAAGGCAAGGAGAATGAGCATACAAGTAACGATTTGTCAGTACACCAAATCCACAAGGAAGTCCACACACAACATAAGTAAATCTTACCAGAATCAGTGGCAGGAGCAGGAGGCGCTGCAAAAACAGAATTTGTCAGCGATGGAAGAAAGCTGCTCTTTCTTTTTCCTCCAAAACCACTTTTCCTCATCCTCACATATTTTTGCTTCCTAAAAATCACTGGCACAACCATAAATCAATCGTTCAAAAAACTCAAGTGAATATACTGGAATCAGACAGCTCTAGTATTTAAAAACACATTTGTTTTCTCGAATTGCATAAAAAAAAACAAAGTTTGCATGGTGTGAAAAGGTGGCCTTGAAAGAATTTAGAATTCCTAAAATACTGAAAAAGGAGAATGAAAAATGCTTATTAAAAAAAAGACAACAAAATTTATCTTGAAGAAATGAAGTACATTTTTTATTACTATGTAAGGGCCAAGTGTACAATTACGATGCCGTATACTAATATTAGCGTAATGGGATTTTGGTAGCCGTCGGATTAATTTCAATCCGGACCACTCGCTCCTGTATATAAACTAGAGTTTTTGGGCTAATTGATATGCACATTTCTGTATTCCCTTTCCATATTCCAAACACTCACAACTATTATTATTTAGAAAAAAAAAACAAAAACAATTTACAGGGAGTGATCATAAATCTATGTAGCAATCTAAATACAGATTAGAGGTAAAAGAACTACAAGGAGCGAAAATATGGGAACTCTTACCATGGTCTAACCCCTGTAGAGCTCCAAATGATGAATGAACCAGAGTTTAAGCTCACTCTTTCTTGCAAGTGAACATTACTCATAGCAATGCACTGCTGCCTGGATGATTTCTTTTGTACTCTCAAAGAGAAAACTTTCACGAAAACAAGTGCAATATGACCAAATTTGTCATCCTGATCCCATGAATCCTAAGCCGTTGATTTCTGCCCCTATGAATGCCAGCCGTTGATCATTTGGTGCGTTTGCTAAGATCTTACAACTCCGCCAGGGATCTGTGGAAGGGGAGGCAAATCCACGCATCCATTCTCGAGTCCGGCGATCTGTGTTCCAATACTTTTCTCGCCAATCTCGTTGTCCAGATGTATGGGAAGTGCGGGAGCACAGAGGACGCGAGGAGGGCTTTCGATCGAATCCACGCGCCCAATGCCTTCTCGTGGAGTATACTCCTCTCGGGCTACATCCACTGCGGCGAGATCAACGAGGCAAAGAAAATCTTCGATAGAATGCCCGATCCCGACGTGGTGTCGTGGAATTCGATGCTCGGCGTCTATGCCAAGCAGGGCTCTGTCGAATGCGTTAAAGGCTTCTTCGATCGAATGCCTGTGAGGAGCTTGATCTCGTGGAATACGGTGCTTTCTGCGATCGCCGATTATGGGCATTTTGATAAGTGCCGAGAGTGCTTTGATCGAATGCCGCAATGGAGTGTTCTATCATTTACTGTAGTTTTAGAAGCACTTTATCAAACAGGAAACATAGATGAGGCTGAACGTAATTTTGATTTGATGCCAGAAAGAAACATAGTTTCCTGGAATATGCTGATTGTTAGAAATGCCCAGACAGGGCACTTTGAAACAGTTGAAAGCATTTATGCGAAAATTCCAGCCACGAACATTGTGACTTGGAACTCAGTCTTGGATGCATACAAACAGAAAGGTGATGTTTTGAAAGTGCATAAGTATTTTGAGGAAATCCCAGAAAAAGACGTCGTCAGCTGGAACACTCTTCTGTCTGCATTTGCCGTGAATGGAAATTATGAAAGTGGAAAAGCGTTGTTCCTTGGAATGCCAATAAGGAGCCTTGTATCTTGGAATATTGCACTTCAGATGTTTTCAAAAGAAACCTTAAGCACCACCCATGAAGTTTTCATGTCTATGCCGAAATGGGATCCAGTCGCGTGGACGCTTATGATTCAAGCACATACCGCGAACGGGGATTTGGACATGGCACGGGAATTGTTTGATGAAATGCCCGCAAAGACGATGGCGGCGTGGACGGCCATGATCACAGCGCACTCGCAGAGAGGACGTGTGGCAGATGCAAGAGCCCTCTTCGATGCCATGGACGAGCGCGATAGTGTTGCATGGACAGCCATGATCGCCGGCTATGCGCTTCATGGCGACAATGGAAGAGCCAAAGAGCTCTTCGACGCCATGGGTGACGGGAAGACTATCGTCTCCTGGAACGCAATGCTGGGATCCTTGTCCGGCGATATTGCTAAGATGGAGCGATTCATGCACAAAATGCCCAGATGGGACGTGATCTCTTGCAACTCAGTCGCGGCCATCCACGCGCAGAGCAAAGGTTCTTGCGATGCTGCCAAGTTTCTATTCGATTCCATGCTGGAGCGCAATGTCTTCTCGTGGAACACACTGATCCTCGCGTTTGGATCGAGCGAGCGAGCCGTGGAAGCCAACCGAGCGTTCGAAAGAATACCCCACCGGGATTTGATCACCTGGAGCTCCATCGTCGCCGCCAACGCACAGAACAGCCAAATGGATCGCGCGGAGGAGCTATTCGCGAGCATGCCCGAATGGGACGTATACTCTTATAACGCAATCCTAAGTCTCTATGCCCAGACCGGGCATATCGATCGAGCAAAGGCATTGTTTGATGGGCTCTGGATTAAAGACTCGATAACTTGGAGCACGATGGTGGCAGCGTATGCCCAAGACGGAGGATCACACACCAACTTAGCGATGGAGCTCTTTCGTCTCATGGTTTTGGATGGCTTCTCCCCTCACGGGCTGTGTTTCGTGAGCTTGCTCGCAGCGTCCAGCCACCTCGGGCTCAAACACGAGACGCGAGAGAGCTTCGCGTCGATGGTCTCGGACTTTGGCGTGGATCCAAGCCCGGAGCATTTTCTGTGCGTGATCGACGCCTTGGGACGGTCTGGCGAGCTGGGAAGAAGCCGAGAGCTGATTGAAAGCATGCCGTTTGTGCCGGACGAAGGTGCGTGGAGCACATTGCTTGCCGCTTGCTCTAGAGGCCATGGATCGAGCGTGGAGGAGCTGGCAGCACACAAAACTCTCGAGCTGGATCCGCGGAGTAGCCCGACTTATGTTCTTCTCTCCAGCGCTCTATGCTGCCAAGTTTGAGCGAACGATTCGACTGAAAAGTATGGAGTCATCGTCACGGTGACATGGATAAAACGCTCGTCAGGGACTTCAAGGCTGCGAGGTAGTTCTCGTCGATAGTATCGTGATCGTATGTAACGTGGGCGAAGTCTACAAGCTTGACACTGACTTTCGATGCTGCTCCATGGTCCTCGTAGATTATCAGCACGGAGCTCGAAAAGAAGTGATAGAACGTCTGCTTCTCAAACCTGTGATGATTCTCAGCTTCTGAGAGACGTAAAGAAAAAAAGAGATTTTTACCAGCTTGTGAGCTTCTCGAGCTCCATCTTGGCGGCTTCATAAACTTTGGAAGCCAAGAGTGCGTTTGGATTCTCGTCATCGAATGGATTTGTCGAAACAAAGCGACGGATGGCGTACTCTACGCCGTGGTTGTCGAGCTTCCGGCACCAGTTACGATCGGCCTTCCATTTAAAGCGAGTTGATGGATCATAGACCTGGCAAAAATGGAGAAATAAAAAGAGAAAAAGGAAGCTTCAACAAAGAAACGTTTGAAAACCTGCATCCCACTGACGCGAATTCCCAAAGTTCCTGTTGTGGACTCGCGGTCTTTTATCCTGCGCACGAATGCTTCCAGCCATCAAAATCGAAATTTTCAGAGAAGTCGAAGCTCCAGTCCTAAAACTCACTCGCATTTCTTTCTATAGGCTTCACCAGCCTCCGGGTACCACGTCTGGAATCCCATCTACAATCACAAATCCAAAGTCTATCACCAAAAAACTAAAAAGGAAGAAAAACACGCACCTTGATATCGATAATGCAAGGCTGGTCGAAGCTCTTGGTCACGTCCTCTAACACGGCATACCGTACAAGCCAGGTCAAGGAGAAAGAAAGAAAGAAAAGCTACAAAACTAGCAAAGGATATTTGTTGGCGTGGGCGAGTTTGCAGTGTCAACGAGGACGGAGCCCCGGAACTTTGGGAAGAACTCCTTGATCTCGTCTGGAACTCGCTCGTCCGACCAAAACTGTTGGTAGAACTCAATCTCGCGCTCCCCTCTGGCACCGTCTTGCAGCGGCTTGTAGAACCAGCCCGAATCATCGACGAGCGAGCCGACATGCCCCTCTGCGAAAGCAAACCAAAATCAGCAAAGCCACAAACAAGGGATCTCAAGAAAAAACCTTCAAAAGAATGGCCAGCAACTTGGTTGCTCGAAGGCTTCAATCCCTGTTGCACAAGAGGGCGATCACTTCAATCGCATTGCACTACCGAGAGCTTACCGATGCGATCAATCCAGCAGCCATGGTCGCGAAGAAACCTAGTGAAGCAAAGTCAACGAAAAGGGTTTAAAGACAAATGTCAACTATAGTCAATCAACTCCATACATTAATGCCGACCAGAGTACACGATGTCGAGGCCGAGAGGTGAGAGATACTGGATGGGACTTAATCCCGGCGGCGCTGGCCAAGAGCGGATTGTGGTGCCTGATCGATGTTACCATGGTCCATCTTGGTGGAAGTTTCCAGTGGAAGAGGATCTTCCTCCCGTGCCTCGTTTTCCCGGTTGCAAAGAGCCTGGAAGTCTTTGGAGCTCGGGTATCTGACTGGTAACGCAGTGATACCACCACCTCTTCCTGGGAGTAGCCAACGACGAAAAGATCCGGAAGCTGGTTTCGCGCGCTTGGCGCGTGCGAAGGAGGATGTTGTGATGACGGATCAAACTCCATTTCATGGATGATGGTGGCTGCTGCTGCTGCTTCCTTTCCCCCGGAAGAACCGGCTGAATGCCGACGAGGGGGGCTTCTCCGAGGGCGATCCCATGTCCAAAGACTTGGTGAGATCCAGCTCTTTGCTTGCCGACGCCGCTGCCGCTGCTGCTTTCAGTATCTTGGACTTGGCCGGGGACGTCGACTTGGAGCGTGGTCTTCCTTCCAGGGGGATGCTAGGCACGAACACCTTGCTTTCACCGTTTTGTTCGCTACCTTCGGTTGCGAGCTCTGGAGTCGGTTCCGCCGGTTTGGCAGCCAAAGTTTCCGCTTCGTCTGGTTTGAGTTTGGTGTTGTTGGTGCTTTCTTCCGATGTTGAAGGTTCTTCTGCTGCTGCTGCTGGAGATTGAGAGCTCCTCGACATGCTGAGAGACTGTAGTTGCTCCCCGAGGTTGAGGATAGCACGGTGGCACTCGTCCAGTTTCGCCGCGAAATCCACACTCTGCAAAAAGATCGTAATAAGATTTAAAGAGGGAGGGATCACAGTTTTACCTTTTCGGTGCTCGAGTCTGGAGTAGGCACGACAGGGCTCGAGTTCTTCGTCCTGGAAGAGAAGATTGCGCGTCAGAAAAACAAGGTTTTAATCTGATTTTCTTACCGGGAGAGTTGCTGCTGAAGAAGATCATCAAGTTCGGCAGCAGCGGCTCGGCTCTTCGACCGTTCCTTCCCAAGCTCCTCCTCTAAAGCTTTTGATCTCTCCTCGAGTTGACTTGCTGCATGCAATGCTGCTTTCACTTCGTACTGAAGCTCCGCTTTTGCTGAAAAGCTTTCGGCAAGCTGGTCTTCTGCGAGCTGCCTCGATTTTGCTGACAGAGCTAGCTCCGCCCTGAGCGATGCCACCAATTCTTCAGCTTCAAACACCTGACTCTTCCACGTTACTTGCGACAATGCCAAGTCGTGTTCCAGTTCCGCCTTGTCAGCCTCCAGAGTCTGGAAGTCCTGAGTGACCTGCTTCAAGCTTTCATTAGCACGTCGCTGGATTTCTTCTTTCTCTGCTTTCAGTTCTTTCAGTTCTTGCTCCGCTATGGAAAGTCTGCTGCATTCTTCCTTGACACCCTGAACGATCTCGTTTGTTGCGGCCAGAACGTGTTCAAGGTCCATTTTCTCGTTTTCCAGTCTGCTACATTCTGCTTCCAAACGTTTGAGGTTGTCGGTGGCGGTTTGCAGTTTCTGCTCAACATCCTCGTTTGATCTTTGCAACGCAAGCACTTCCGTTTCCAGCTTCGAGCAGCTCTCCTTGAACTCCTCTACAATCCTTGTCAAGCCTTCCACCTCAACGCAAAGTCGTTCTTTCTCGGTACTGACTTCTCTAAGCTCCTTGTCAGACCGATTGAAGTCACCTTTAACACGCTCAACGTCGTGCATAAAACCATCTTGAATATCTGCGTGCTCGGCTTTCAATCTCTTGCCCTCCTCCTCTAACGTAGCTATCCTCGTTCTCAGTTGCTGTACGTTCTGTGAAAAGCTCTGCTCCATTTCTTCTTTCTCGATCTTCAGCTGGTAAAACTCGCTCTGTAAGCTGATAAAACTCGCTTCCTGTGCCTTGAGCTCCTCGTTACTTTGGCAGAGCCTACCTTCCAGCCTAACATTCTGAAGCTCTAATCGACCAATATCTTCCTGTAATGTACTCACTCGGCCCCGCTCCATCTTAAGCTGCTCACTGGCCTTCTGCTCCAATAAAGTCCTCTCATCCTTGTGCTTCTCGAGGCAAAGGTCCATTTCGATACACCGTGCTTCCTTCTCACTGAGAGACCTGTGAAGAGCTTCCTCCCGTAAAAGATACTTGTTGAGAGCTAGCTTGGTCTCCTCGAGCGACTTTCTACTTTCTTGTTCTTGCTCCATCAAGCGCCTGAGATCTTCCTCCAGTCCGTCAATGGTCTGAAGATGGACGTTCGTTTTGTTTGAATCCTCATGCCTCTGCTGTGAAGCCTCAGCCAAAGCTTCCTCTAGGTCCTGTTTCTCGTGTTGAAGCTGAACGAAGTCCGCCATCAACTTCTGGATATCCTGGTTCACTGCGTCGATGTCTTTTTGAGTTGCTAGCTTGTCCTGTCTGCCGCGTTTCAAATCAGTCTCCAACACTTCAATTCTCATAAGCTGAGACTTCGCCTGCTCGTCGAGCTTTTCCCTCTGAGCTTCCAGTTCTGCCATGACCCCGTTCATCGTCTGGAGGCTCCTCTCAGCTGTCTCCTTTGCACAAATCTCTCTGCCAAGGCTCTCTTCGAACTTCTTGCTTAGTTCTTGTACCTGATCACGAGCTTTCACGTCTGCAGCCTTCAGATCATTTTCCAGAACAGATATCCTCGACTTAAGCTGTTCGACCAAGACCGTTGATGCCGCCAGCTTTTCTTCCATCTCGCGATTTTGCAAGGTAAGATCGTCCAAAACACTAGCATTCTTGCCAGCACTGTCGTGTAGCGAATCCATTAGCACCACCTTCTCAATTTTCAGGGCAGCAAGGTTCTCTTGATGACGAGCCAATTCCTCTCGCAGCAATACTATCTGGCTGTTTGCCGCTGCTAACGCAGCCTCCATATGCAATTCCGGGCTTCGGTCCCGTTCCAGGCCAGCGAGTACGTCCAAAGTGTTGCAAACTTCGGCGATGAAACTGAAGAAGTCGGCATTTCCTTGCAATAGAGCGTTGCCAGAAGCAGCCAGCCTTTCAAAACTACCATCGACGTCGGCATTTGTCCATTGCACCTCGAGAGTTATCTCATCTGTTTTGATCTCGGAGTCAGAAGGTGGCTTCTGCCCGTGCTCAAGCCCACCATCCTGTCCTAAACGCTCTAAACTCCGGAAAATCTTCCGAGCTAATGGAACCAGTTCCTTCTTTTGCTCGTTTGCTAGCTGATCAACATCTCCATACCTGGATGGTACCCCATCCACCTGTCCCTGTGCATGGCCATTTGCTGCGGTGTTGTTGTGAACCTGACTTTCCAGAGCGGACACTTTCTTTCTTAAAGCGATAATAACTTCGTTGGCGGCATCAAGGTCCTTTTGACTCGGGCTCCCGCTTTCCTTCCTCTCCAGTGCCTGACCATTTTCGTGTGGCACATTTGACGTGAGCTTCTCCATCTCCAGAAAGTCATCCATGAGTTCGAAGCTTGTGGTGTCGAGCAGCTTGTCAGGTTTCTTATCTTCTTTCTTAAACTGCGCCAGCTCGGTGATCAGTGCTGAGGCCCAGGCGTCCGCTTCGTCTCCATTGCAACTTCCATGGGATGCCTGCTGGTTGTCTCCAAAACTTCTCAAAGCCTCTATGTGCCCGTTCAGACCCATCTTGGAGACGTCTTGTTCCCCATAGATACTTGCGAGTTGCTCTTCCACGTTGAGCAGCTTGCCTGCAGTCCGCGCACACATTATTCTTGCCGCCTGGAGCTCTTTGTTCCGCTTGGCAAGTTCATCCTTCAGTGATTTGGTTTCTTCTTCCAACGCAAACCTGTCGTCCATATCCTTGTTGCTCATTTCAGAGCAGTCGTCCACCGTTTCAGAGAAAGCTCGTGGTGAGCTCACCAGCCTTCCAAGTGACTTTCTCCGATCCAGCACGTCCACCTCACGTAGGTGCGGGGACGAACCAGCAGTCTTCTTGCGCAGCTGAATCTTTAGTCTCTGGCAGTCAGCTTCAAGCTTTGAAACCTTTCGCGACGAATCCAAGAGTTGCTGTTTCGCCGCCTCAGACGCCTTCTTGGATTCATTGTTGAGGCCAACGAGGTCCTTCTTCAGCGCACGTACGTCATGTTTGAGCGCGGCATTTTCCTTCTCGAGACTCTCCACCTTAGTTGACACCTTCTTCACGTCCAAATCCGCCTGAACCTTCGCATCGGCTAGACGCTGCTCCAGGGATGCATTCTCGGCTGTTGCTTGGAGCACCTGCTCTTCCGCTTCCGTCAGCCTCGCGTCAAGATCCGTGCGAACCCGATCCCACTCTTTAGTCTTCTCCTCCAACTCTTCTTGCTTCTGCTCCTGCTCTTCTCGTCCAGTCCGCAGCTGCTTTACACACTCCTTGAGAGCACCATCCAAGTGAGCAACGCGCTCATCTAGAGCTAGCCTTTGTTGCTGTGCGTTTTCTAGCTGCTGCTTCAACATGGCGGCCTCGGCTTCTGCCTTCTCCCATCCTGAAGAACAAAAGAGTATCGCAAACTTTCATATCAGCTTCAATGAAGGATTGGAGCATACCTGATATCGCATCCTCGGCAACTTTGGCATGCTGCTTCACTAAGTTGTCCTTGTTTATAATCTCTTTGAGCGCAACTGTGAGCTTGCTGGTTAGGAGCTGGACGCTTTCATCGCCTTGGTCCTTCTCCATAGCCGGTGTGTTCTTTCCTAGATCTCCAGTAGCATCACCATTTGGCTCTTTGGCAATGTGGTCGCCATTTTGCGACATGATCAGCTCCTAGAGGAGAAGATCGCTCAGCCTGTGACAAAGACCAAATAACCCGGAACTACTTACTGGGATATCTACTGCCTCGCTCATGGTGTGATCCAGACCTAGCTCTCGATCTGCAAGGAAAAGTGCGTGATCAGGTGATAGAAAACGGAATCCTCGCAGCTCTCAAGAAATTCTTGGCAGGCGCTTTCGCATGGAACGAGCATTAAACCCGCATTGCCAGGCTACGCACATTGTCCTCTTGCGATGAGGAACAAGGGAAAGGAGAAGAAATCCAGCATTTACCTTTCCTCGCTTCTGCCTTACTGCGTCGAGCCGCCGCCCTGGGCCGCCACAGACTCCTCCCAGCAGCACAAATCTTCGCTAGGCATCAGAAATTCGCTGAAAGCTTCGGCGCACGCTCGGACATCGACCGATCCGGCCGCGGCGGCGCATTGATCCGCGCTGGAGACCAGTGACGCCGCGCTAGGAAGGGATGCGAGAAACCCTGATTCTTTCCTCCCTTTCGCACAGAAAGCCAAGAGCACAGGAGAAATGATGAACGAAATACTTAGAGAGTGGGAAAGGTAGAAAATCTCCCACTTTCACCTTAATTCCCCCCCATTTTTTCACTCGCTTTTACTTTCGGCGCCCATGCGAATCGAACTTTCATGCGCTCTGCCAGTCCGCTGGATCGCGACACGTGGTGGATCGTAGCGCCGGCATCTATCAACGTGGAGGTCGTTCTCACGCTGTCAAAGGTAGGTCAAAATGGTATAAAATAATTTATCTTGCCTAGTGATCCTTTTCAGGAGGCTATAGAATTAATTAGTCGAGACCGCTAATTAATTTGCATAGCCAGTGGAATATGAACATCGTTGCTTTTCATGTTTGTTCCAACATCAAAATCACATCGCAAATTTTTTTCGCAGCGTTGCTTTCTCAACAACTGGCACCTAAATCGCAAAGAGAGAGCGAGAAAAATAAAATAAAATTCATGAGACAATCATAATGTATAAAAACTTGAGAGAGACAACTTACTTGTCCATCGTACCGTGAATCCGTTGTTGTGTAAGAGCTAAGGAAAAACCATTGAAAACTTCGCGCTCTGTGGATGAAATCAATAGAGTAGCAGCACTTTCTTGCTGGCAATCAATTGCCGCTGCCTTCCAAGCTAAGAATCCCTGCATCCCAAAAATCATTTGAAAGCAGCAAACGGGAAGCCACTTAACTTCGATGGGAATGGAAAGGTCTCCTAGATTCCGGCATTTCTCGCAAAGCCATTATCTATCCCCCTGTTCTTGCGATGCACGGAAGCCAGCCAGCCTCTTCCCTGGGGCCTGAGGATGGTGCTCACTGCCAAGCCCCTGCAAAAAAGGAAAAAGAGGAAGCTGTCCTGTGAGAAAGAGTTTGGTGGTACTGTCTATGAAAAATGCAAAAAAGAAATATGTACTAGTGCTCCTACCCACAATGCAAGTGGCAAGGAACCAGAAAAGAGAGGAGGATGAATAAACATAATCCTTGGACTGAGTTTTACGACTGTCATCAATGTGGGAGCCAACAAACTCATGCACATGGCAATATGGCTAACGTTTGATGATTCCATTCCACTCTCAGTGAATGCAAGCCCAGCAGCAGCGACTCACATGCACTAGCTAGACGAAAAGAGAAAGAAAAACAGAAAAGAAAACGAGAAAAAGCGCGGAAAGAGATTTTCTTACCTGAAAAATCACTGGGACGAACGGAAGATCCATGACCAGTTGTTACTTGAAAACAGGAAGGCAAACGGATGCGTGCAAAACAAAAAAGAAAGAAAACATACACACACAAGGATCATTTTCAACTTTGCAGAGTGGCATACCTTCTTTTCCAATTCTTCTTCTCCTTCGTCACATGTAGGTGGCCGGCTAATGTCTGCTTTTAGCCTCTGTCAAAGCAGAAGGTTACCTCCGCATCGCAAGCCTGACAGTGACGCCAAATGTTTAGATGAGTGCGGTGCAGCACTAAAGGTTGGAGTCATACCAGTGACGTGTGCTTTAGAAGTGTAACAGTGCAGGAATTGTTGTCGTGATCCTTGGCGAGCATCAGACGTACGTGAGGGACCGACTTCCAGCTCTCGCCGAGCGCTGGCTTCAGCTCCTCGTCCTCCGCGGCAACAGTGTTGTTTGTGATCTTGCAATAAAAAAGCACGTAAGAGATAGAGTCGACTTGGGAGCAAAGCTGCTCACCAGGACACAGATGTTGCGGTTGATTGCAATGGTTTTCAGGATCTGACCAACGGACATCATTAAAGTGTGTCCTGCATTGCAACAGAAGAAAATAAAAGGAAAGATAAGATTTTGTTTCGCATCGTCAAGCTTAAAGCAGTTGTTCACGCCTTGAGCGTTGTTGCCACCAAGAATTGGAGAAAGAACAGATGCCAGACAGTCAACAATAACTAGCCGTAAATGCACCGGACCCGGGAATGAACTGTAAAATGATATGCAATCGGAGAACGCAAATGAGAAACATAGGCACAAACCTTGCGGGATCGTATAGACTATGAAGCACTTCCAATAGACCGTGGACATCGTAAACTTTAAAGCAGAAGATCCTTCGCATCGCCTCTTTCACATCGTCCTGCAAAAAATCGCTGACATGAATAACTATGTTCGGACCTTACCTCGATAGCTATCGAGCTACATCTTCTGCCACACATCATTTGCAAAACACGCTCGGCTGAGAAAGAACTCGAGGCATCGACATACGCCACAGAAAACTTGTGGTGGTAAGCCACGCATGCGGCAGAGCGCATACACAGCTGAGAACAAAGAAGTGAAACACTCGGTTAGATCAAAGCTAGTAGAAGACTCTTCGTTACTTGAGTTTTTCCGGAAGAGGAAGGCCCCACAAGTTCCGTGATTGTTCCATCCTTCAAACCTCCTTTCAGCAGAGAATCCAAGCTACACAGCAACAAGTGAATTGTCAGAAACCACACCCTGGACTTCGAGAGCTTTGAGAGACAAACCTTTCAAACCCTGTAGAAAGGGAGCCGGCTTGCAGATTTTTCTGGAGCATTTCATCTCCATTTTCCCATTTTCCATGACATTCTTCCAGAAACGTGGCCAATTCGGACTTAAACTGCTGACATAAACAGCACATCTTAGCCAAAATCAGGCAAATCAACAAACAAAAACCTTCTGAATTTCTGGATCTTCCACGCCAGAATCTAGTTCCTGTGAAACAAAATCCTCCACTACGAGAAAGAAAACTTCACAAATTCACGACGGAAAAGAGAGGAAAAAATGTACCCAGCGCTAAGATCATACCTGTGACGATCTTGTTGCGCTCCAGAAACTCCAAAACACGAGGCGTGAGAGACGCAAAGCCGAGCGTCCGCAACGGCGCCATAGCTTAAACCCTAGCTCCCCGAACAAACCCTAAAAACAAAAATTCGCATTTCCCGCTCGGATCCAACGGTCACTTTTTGCACGAAATCAGACGCTTATCTCCGCGCCACGTGTTACTAACCCTGGGTTTTGAGAAGGTCGGTGTTTTCTCGATGACGACCATGGATTCATCGTCTCTCACCTGGGAGCTCACAGGGAAGCGATGGATGCGTGTAGGGTTCTTCACGGCGGCTGTCACATTTGCGGTGTGGATTCTCTGGGAGATCGCTCTGCCGCAAGCGTCCTGGGGTTCCTTGATCGCCGCCGCCTTCAGGTTCTTGCTCTTTCAGCTAGCGCAGCTCGTCTTCTTGCTAGGGCAGCGATTGGTAGTCCAGCCGGAGGACCCTAACTCGTCCTCCATCGCCGACACGCTGCTGGGAATGGTATTGCTGGGCAAGGCGGTATTGGGCTGGCCGCTAGACCCAGATTACACGTATCTCGTCGTCCAGAGGATCCGGGTTTTGAGAAACAGTTTTGTTCTCGCTATCGCAACCATGGTCTCTGGATTCCTGTCGCTATGCGCACTCACGCTCTCAGTGAAATCGAAGAGCTCGTTCTTCATCGACATGGGTGTTCGTGGTGCCGCGCTGGGGCTGTGCTACATTTGTCTCTACACTTGGGGGAAGGGCCATTTGCTCAAGTTTCCGATCATCCAGGTACGAGGGAAAAACACTTGTTTTTGATACTTCTTTCGCTCACAAACTCTTTTTCGTGTTGTTTTTGTGTTCTCAGAGACAAGTTTACTTCAGTATGAAACTGGGGATGACTTTGGCATTGCGCTCGGCACTTAGAATGGCAGTGCTCTCCATCCCAGTCGCGGAGGTCCTCGTAAGATCCTTGCACCGATGTCTTGCTGGTAACTGGGGGCCCTTCTCTTTGTGGCACCAAGTCATCTATGTTGTCGGAGCGTTCTTTGTCGCTCTGATCTGGAACTTGTGCTGCCACTTTATCCAGGTATGCATGACGCGAGTCTTTTTGTGATCCGTTTTGTTGATATGTGTGTTTGTGATTCTTCAGGTGATTCACACGAGACGGTTCGTGTTTGCGCCACCCCCGGGATCAGCTGCAGCCGAGACTAATCCGACAGAGCCGCTTCTTTCGGTTTTGGAAGACGACGAGGACTTGATCAGGCAGTACCTTGGATTCCTGGACCTGTTCATCCTATCAGGAGTCTCCGAGATAAATGTTGAGGCCTGGCGGCGAGCGGCATTCTTCGAAGAAAGCGGTGAAGCTTACAAGAAGGTCATCACGCTCTGTCTGCGACCACTTGACAGGCTTACAGTGAGGCTCCTGAAGGGTCTGGAAAGTGCGCAAGTAGGTGGTACCAAAGATCACATACCGGGAGCTGAACAAGGTGTGCATGCCAAGGAAAACTTTCAAGAATTGCAAGTAAGTAGCATGTTTTTTCAGACTGAATAGTACTCATCAGCTCCATGCTTGGCAGCTTTGCTCGTGGTGTGCGGGCATTGTGTCTTCGCTGACGGCATTCTCACGCACCGAAGACCGATATGGCGTTGCGCAGCTTACTGGCTCCAATGCGGCGGTACTGGCATCGCTCATATCCTGTCTGCTTATCCTGGACGTCTACCTGGGACGTCGTAGTGGTTTTGGAGCTTTGAGCCTCGTCAGCCCGAACGGGATCCGGTGGGCCGTGCCGTTCCGAGGAGCTCTGCTGGACGCGGATAGGAAGCAAAGCGCTCTTTTCAAGAAGAAGTCTCTCCAGCACAGGAAAGCACACGTAATGGCGGATGTTCTTCGGACAGCAATCTACAGGATCGTGGCAGTTTTCAGGGACGAGATGGTAGTGACTGGCTCTGGCTCCGTCTCGTATGCTCTCGCGGAACGAGACTGGCTGAGTAGGAACAAGCCTCTCTTTGGGACACCCGAGATGCACCTCCAGAAGCTGGGACAGTTTATAGAGTTCCAGGAGTAGGATGGAAGAAGACACAGTTTTGACGGGATTTAGTAATGGTGCGGTTTAGATGTATCAACAGGGTTGTGAGGAGAGCTTCCTCGACTTGTTAGAAGGTTTGTCTTTCTTATTTCTTTCTACACTTGTGTTTTATGCGCTGATCGGAGCTCTTGGTGGTGCAGCTGAGTCGGGATCACTCGTTTGATAGCTATAAGGTGGCGCTTCGCTTTGGAGCTGCATCACCGACGTCATGACTTGCGCGAGCTCCGCCTGCGTGTGGTTGAGCTCCAGCATATGGGACAGGACAGAGTTGAAGGACTGGAGCGTCTCCTGGACGCTCTGGAGCGTGCTGAGGTTGTCCTTGCTGCCGGACTGGGACTGGATCGCCTCGAGACCCTCCACCAGGGACAGTGCCTCGATCACTTGGAGCTGAGTCTGATTGAGATCGGGGAAGGACAGGGATTCTCGGATGCTCTGGAGCTGCTGCTGGGTCTCCTGGATGGCTTCACGCAGGTCAATGAGCATATCTCTAGTGAGGACGCCAGTGTTGTCACCACTCCCCGAAGGTTGATCACCACTGCTGCCACTTCCGCCGCCGCCGTTGTCACCACCACCACCACTACCGCCACCTCCTCCACCTCCTCCTCCGCCAGGTCCGCCACCAGCGCCAGGACCATTTGGACCTCTCGGGTCCGTCACATTGGAAGAAGAAGATCCACGAGAGCCACCTGGAAACAAAAGCAAGCACCAGATCGAGTTGGAAAGGTAAAGATCGAGCTCTCACTTTCGGTGGTATTTTCGCCAAGACAACTTCTCCAGTGGATGGAATGGAGCAGCAGTAACACCAGCAGCAGTAGCTGGAAATTCGAAGCCGGGATCATCCTGGGAAATTGGCAGTAGCAGGCATGAGACTAGAAGTGGGCGAAAGTTTCATCCATATATAAGACTGATCGAGGAAGCGTGTCTTTCTCGATCCAAATTTTGTGGAACATGTCCTTTGGGTTGTCTTGCCAGTACTGAGTGCCTTTCTCGTGAAAGCACACACTTCTTTCTAAAGTCAAACTCGTCAAACTATAGTCAACTTAAGTCAAATCGTATAAGAAATCTACTCTAGATTCCTAGGGGCGGCGCCGCTCTTGGCGAGGAGGCTCGATCCGGGTCGCGGGCCTGGAAGCTAGCGGGCGGTGTATCGCTCTGGAGCTCGATGATCGAGGCCATGACCTGGGCGAGATCTTCCTGCGTCTGGTTGAGCCCCAGCATCAGGGAGAGGACATTGTTGAAGTACTCGAGAGTCTCCTGGATGGCCTTGAGCGTGCTCAAGCTGTTCTTGCTGCTTGCCTGGAGATCCTCAAGCCCCTCCACCAGCGACAGCGCCTCCACGACCTGGAGCTGGGTGGCATTCAAGGTCGGGAAGGAGAGCGACTGCCGGATGCTCTGGAGCTGCTCCTGGGCCTCCCCGATCGCGTCGCGGAGATCGATGAGCATGTCCATGTTGAGGATCCCGTTCTCGTCACCTGATGGTTGATCACCACCACCACCACCGGCACCCCCACCTCCCGGTTGACCGCCGCCGCCGCCAGGACCATTCGGACCTCCCGGGCCTCTTGGATCAGTCATGTTGGAGGAACCACCTACGAAGAACCCAAGAAATAGATGTGACCAAGGAAATGTATGGTGGTTTTTACCATTCTGGGTGGTGGAGTTTGTGCTGCTACTAGCGTTTCCCGAGTGGATCCAGTGGGCGAGCAGCAGTAGCAGGAGACTGGACGTCCAAATCTTGAGAATCATCGTGGCGAAATGCTTGAGCGAATGTGTTTGAGGGCGCGAGTTTCTTATACCGGGGAATGGATGCAATCATAGAGCATGTCCTTTGGGTTGCCAAGCTAATCACTGGATCATTGATCCACATAGAACGTCTCCGTGAATCCCAGCGAATATACTCCATGTAGCCCTATTTTTGACCAAGTTTGAATAGCAGAATATACTCCATAAACCTTAATTTGACTATGTTTGACTTAATGAATATTCGAAGGATATAGGTTTTGGGTTTGTGTCGGCTATGGCGGTGGTGGGAGCGCTGTTGCTCGTGGCGGCGGCGGTCTTGTTCCTGGCGCGGCGCTGGGAGTGCAAGCGGGCGATCGCATTCTTCCATCCCTACACCAACGATGGGGGCGGCGGTGAGCGCGTCCTGTGGTGCGCCGTCCGGGCCGTCCAGGAGATGTTTCCCGATGTCCCTTGCGCGATCTACACCGGGGATGAGGCTACGCCCTCGTCACTGGCAGCTCGAGCATGGGAGAAATTCGGTGTCAAGCTCCATTCGCCTCCTCAGGTAAAATTCTCTCTAGTTCTTCTTAGTTGTTGTTAGCTCGGTAAAATTCTTCTAGTTCTTCTAGTTCTTCGTTTCTTCTTGATATTCTTCGATCTCATGCCTGGATCTTCTAGTCCATTCGTGAGTCTAGATGAGTAAGCATTCACTTTGTCACGAACGAAGTTTGCGTGACGATAAGCATGCCTGGAACTTTTAGCTCTGATCGATCGTGATTCTTTCTACAGGTTGTGAGACTGCGAACCAGGAATCTGATTGATCCATCGAACTATCCACACTTCACACTTCTCTGCCAGTCTTTGGGCTCCATAGTTCTTGGATTGGAAGCACTCGTGAGGCTCAGGCCAGTTTTGTTCTTCGACACAAGCGGCTATGCCTTAACTTATCCCCTCGCAAGACTGTTTGGCTGCAAGGTGGCGTGCTACACTCACTACCCGACCATCAGCTCCGACATGGTGTCGCGAGTTTCCAATCGCTCGTCGCTCTACAACAACAGTGGAGTTATCGCGCGCAGGCAAGTTTCGTGTCGAACGTTTGCGTGTTTCTTTTCGTAGTGACTTCGTGCGTTTTCCAGCTTTTTGTTATCAACTGGGAAGATTGTTTACTACGAATTGATGGCCTTGATGTATGGACTAGCAGGGAGATGTGCCAATCTGGCGATGGTGAACTCGTCCTGGACACTATCCCACATAGAGAAGTTGTGGAAGGGAGCACGGATTGTGCGAGTTTATCCTCCGTGTAACACCGAGTCATTGCAGGTATGGAAGAGATCTTCTTACGTTTTCCTCTACTTGATAGAGGCATCCATCTTTTCTTCAGGAACTTCCGCTAGAGAGGAGCGAGCGTGAGCTTTATTTCATATCGGTCGCCCAGTTCCGTCCAGAGAAGGTAAATCCTCCCTTCTCTTCTGGTGCATCCCTTCTGGTGCATCCCCTGACGCTTTCGTTTTCTCGAAGAACCACGACCTTCAAGTGGAAGCTTTCGCTATGGCCCTCGAGAAACTTAGTGCTGAGAAACGTCCCAGGCTCAAGCTTGTGGGAAGCTGCCGAAATGAAGAGGACGCGAAGAGGCTGTCGGATCTCAAGTCTCTGTGCGCCAAGCTTGGAATCCAAGATCACGTGGACTTCCATGAGAATATATCTTACACGTAAGTCTTTTTTGGAGAAGTTTGCTCGCGACGCTCATCAGTTGTCTCTCCAGCGCGTTGCGAGACTTGCTTGGAGGGGCCATAGCAGGCATCCACTTCATGATCGACGAGCACTTCGGGATCAGCGTTGTGGAATACATGGCAGCAGGAGCGATCCCAATCGGTAAGTTGTAAACGTTTTGCGGTTCCTGAGCAGGAGTTTTTGAGTTCTCGGCAATTTGCAGCACACAACTCCGCCGGTCCAAGGATGGATATTGTGGTGGACGAAGATGGCGACCAGAAAACCGGTTTCCTCGCAGCAACAGTCCCGGAGCTCGCGAGCAAAATGGTCGAAGTGCTCTCCATGGCAAGCTCAGAGCGCCTGGAAATCGCCAAGGCTGCTCGGAGGCGATGCCACAGGTTTTCCGAGAGGCAATTTAACGACAGCTTCAAGCAAGCCATGACGATGTTCCATCTCTAGAGAAGCTCAGCTTGGCATAGGAGAGGATTGGAAAAACATTGCATTACCAAAACTTACGAACGAAAAAAAGGAAAACTTAACAAGAGGTACCTCTTGTGTTCCTGGACTACCTCACTGTTACAATGTCGTCTATCTTGAGGATCATGCGGACGCACTCGGTCGCCAGGCTCACGGCGCTTGTGCTCACCAGCAGCGGCTGCACCACATTCTCTTCCAGGATGTTTGTGATCTGCCCCTTCCTCACGTTGATCCCAGTGTTGACCTCTCCATTCGCGTGATGATTGCGGAGCTCCGTCACGATGGTGATGGGATTCAGCCCCGCGTTCTCGGCTAGAGTGTACGGGATCACCTCCAGTGCCTCCGCGAAAGCGCGCACGCAGTAGCTCTCCATCCCCTGTAAAGTTTTGGCCCACGCTCCAAGCTGTCTTGACGCTTCGATCTCTGGAGCTCCACCACCTTGTCATCGAAGAAACAAGAAACACATTAGCTCTCTGGACATCTATCGCTCGAACGAAAGAAACTACGCTCTTGGAGAAGAAACACTTACCAGCGATGAGGAAACGTTTGTTGACAAGGCACCGCACGACACAGAGAGCGTCGTGCAAGCTCCGCTCGGCTTCGTCGAGAACCAGCTGGTTCGATCCACGAACCAAGATGGTAGTCGTCCGGCCCATGTTTTTGATCCCGGATATCTTGACGATCCTTCCGTCGCCCACCGAGACCTCTTCCACGAGCTCGGCCTGTCCCAGCTTCTCGGCTCGGAAGTGCTCGATGTTGGCGATGGGAAGACAGTTGAGCGTCTTGGAGATGAACTCGATCTCGTCCCTCTCCACGTCTTTCACCACCAAGATCTTGGCCTTGGCGAGATAATGCAGCGACAGCTCCGTCACCGCGTCCCGGAGGATGCTCTTCTGGATGAGAAGAACGTTACACCCGGTGGCCTTGATCTTCTTTATCATTCCCAGGATGTGGTTCCTCTCCTCCTTGAGAATCCTGTCCATCTGCGTGTAGTCCGAAACTATGACGTTCTGCTCGATATCCGTCTTGGGTGGCGAGATCTGGAACTGGATCAAACCGATCTTCGCGTTCTCGACACGAGTCGGCCCACCGGCAGTGTGGCTCGCCTTCTTGTCGAAAACAAGCCCCTTGATCATCTCGGTGTCGTCCACGGTGCCACCGAGCTTCTTTATCACCTTGATATCTCGCAAGTCCACCGAGTCGGGCCTCGCCGGATCCACGACGTTGAGCACCGCGTCCACGGCCAGCGGCGCCAGCAGCGACGAGTACTGGCTCACCACCTTGCTGTTGAGCGACGTGCTCGCGTTCTTGACGAGCGCCTCGCGGTCCGAGAGCTCCACCGGTATCGCCATGGACGTGAGCACCTCCACCGCCTTGAGTGACGCGCGGTGGAAGGCGTCCGAGATGATGGTCGGGTGGACGCCCTTGCCGAGGAGGGCGATGCACTGCTTGAGCAAGGCGCCGGCGATCACCACCACGGTGGTGGTTCCATCGCCCGCCACGATATCCTGGCTCTTGGAGAGCTCCACCAGCATTTTGGCGGCGGGCTGGAGCACCTCCATCTTGAGGAGGATGGTGGCGCCGTCGTTGGTGATGATCACCTCGCCGCTGGAGGTGGAGAGCATCTTGTCCATGCCGCGCGGACCCAGGCTCGTCCGCACGGCGTCCGCCACGGCCTTGGCGGCCATGATGTTGGCCTGCCGCACGTCATCCTTGCGCTTGTTGTCCACGTACGTCTCTGTCTTACCGGAGATCATCGGCGCCTCTGGCATTCTCGCGTCGCCGCCCTCGCCCTCGCGCCTAGCTCGCTCTCTTCTTGGAGCTCGAGGCTGCCCTAACCCTAGAACCCCGATCGCGATCGCGGCCGTTGATCGGGTGACCGCGGGATGTGCGCGGGATATTCGTGGTTTTACCCGGCAATTTTTAGGGCGCGAGGGGGATTGCGCGAGGAGGAGCACAGCGCCGCGGCTTTTGAGCGCCGCTGTTTCGATCGGGATGGGAGCCACGGGCTCCAAGCTCGAGAAGGCGCTGGGCGATCAGTTCCCGGAGGGCGAGCGCTATTTCGGCCTGGAGAATTTCGGCAATACTTGCTACTGCAATAGCGTATTACAGGTAAATCTCTTCCTTGCTCTTCTCTTCGAGTTTTTCCTTCCCTTTGAGTTCTTCCTCTCTGTTCTTGCGTTGCTACAAAAATCTCTTTTTTGTGTGTGTGTAGGCATTGTACTTTTGCATCCCATTCAGGGACCAGCTGCTGGATTACTACGGTCGAATCAAGACGGTCGGAGAAGCCGAAGAGAATTTACTGACTTGCTTAGCGGATCTCTTCACACAGGTATCTCGCTCAATCTGTTCCCAAGGTGATGTTTCAATCCTCCCTTTCCAGATAAACTCTCAAAAGAAGAAGACGGGTGTTATAGCTCCAAAGAGATTCGTGCAGAGGGTAAAGAAGCAGCACGAGCTCTTCCGGAGCTACATGCACCAGGTATTTTTCCATCCTCTCTGAAATAAGCACTCAAAACGAACAAAGCGCGCGATACTTACAGGACGCACACGAGTTTCTAAACTTTTTGCTGAATCAACTAGTTGAAACTCTGGAGAAGGAGGCCAAGTCGGACCCGACAGCCCCAGCATCCCCAGAGAAAAAGTCTAGCGATAATGGAGCAACTGGAGAAGAGCATCCGCTTACGTGGGTCCACAAAATCTTCCAGGTTTGCGACTTTGTCAAGCTTTTGGCTCCAGCTTACTCACTCAGCCATGAATCCACAGGGGTGTCTCACCAACGAGACGAGGTGCCTGCGCTGCGAGACGATAACAGCAAAGGACGAGAAGTTCCTCGATCTCAGCCTCGACATCGAGCAGAACAGCTCCGTCACAAGCTGCCTCCGCAACTTCAGCTCCACCGAGACGCTCATCGCCGATGACAAGTTCTTTTGCGACAAATGCTGCAGGTTTCTACCTCTTCCTTTTCCCCTCGCCGTAACACCCCGCTGCCTCGCAGCTTGCAGGAAGCGCAAAAGCGGATGAAGATCAAGACGCAGCCTCGCATCCTCGCGCTCCACCTCAAGCGCTTCAAGTACATGGAACAGCTGGGCCGATACAAGAAGCTCTCGTACAGGGTGGTGTTCCCGCTGGAGCTGAAGCTGTGCAACACGGCCGAGGATGCTCCGGGGTCCGAGTCGGAGTACTCGCTGTTCGCAGTGGTGGTGCACGTAGGGAGCGGCCCCAACCACGGCCACTACGTGAGCCTGGTCAAGAGCCACAACCACTGGCTGTTCTTCGACGACGAGAACGTAGAGATGATCGACGAGAGTTATGTGCAGACGTTCTTCGGCTCCACGCAGGAGTACTCCAACAACACAGACCACGGCTACATCCTCTTCTACGAGTGCCTGGATCCCGCAAAGGCATCGTGAAAATTTTTTTCTCTCGCTTTTCTTCCTTCTTTTTTGGTTTCAAGATGATGACGATGATGGTATGTCCAAAGCTATTCCATGTTTTTGATCGCTAACAATGCCGAGTACGACCGTTGACTTATTTCGCTTGGGAGACTAAAATCGAGTTATTTACTTTGACAAGCGTTGTCTTTATGGACTTATTTTCTTTGACGATCGATGACTATGGTCCTCCACCGCCGGTGACCTCGCTCTCGAGCGTGGCGAGCGTGTTGACCGCGTCTGCGAGCTGCTGCTGGACTTGACTGGCGGCAAGCATGCACGACACTAGTTGACTGCTGCTGTTGAGCGCGCTCTGGACGTCTCCCAGGATGGTCAATTGCTGCTGACCGCTGGGTTGACCGCTCTGGCCGCCCGGGCGGCCTCCCGGTCCCCCGGGGCCATTGGGTCCCGGTCCACCAGGTCCACCGCCCGGGCCACCCGGGCCACCAGGTCCTCCAAGCCCGCCGCCACTGCTGCCATCGCTGCCGCTATCGCTCCCCTCTCGCGCCTCTGGAGCTTCCGCGATGGAAGATAGGCCGTAAGAGACCGAGGACGTGGGAGGCTTTGCCGAGGAGACGGTGGACGAGTTTGAAGATTTCAGGGTGCTGTAGAGGAGCTGGTCGACCGTGTTCACTATGGACATGGCGCTGGCCAGCTGGTTTTGGGAGGCCTCGAGCGAGTCCAAGGAGATCGAGGAAGTGGCTTGCTGGAGCTCCACCATGGAGGCGTTGATCGCGCTCTGGAGCTCCCCGAGCATGTCCATCTCCTGCTCCTCGGTGCTCTCGCTGGAGACGTTGGAGAGAAGGAATCGGCGAGGCCCTCCTGTGAGATCATAAAAACGCCACGAATGTTTTTAGACCGTGAGAAACTCTATACCTCCAAGGGATCCATGTCCCGGAATGAGAAGCAGCGCCACTGCTAGAAGAAGGAGAAGAGCTTTCGCTGTGATCGGCGATGCCATGATACGCATCTCTGTTGTGTTTAGAAGAGTGACACCTCGCGGCTTTAAAGGCCAGAGTCATCCGGCTTCCAAGGGAGATGACACTAAACACACGCGATGCATGGGCGCTCCCAGCGCTCTCGCTCTCATCATTTGCAACGTAAAGATTTTGGTTCTTGGGTTTCTTGGGTTGACGTGAATTCACCTTACGTGGCTATACCAAGAATATGCCAGTATCTTTCGCAATTACACGAATCAAGATCATTTATTCTATCATGGTTTTTCTCATACAAATAAATGTTGGGAGAAGAAGTCGATTGACATGAGAAGGAGTGCTGGCTTGGATCTATGGGCCTCCTCCAGGCCCAAACCCAGGGCCGCCTCCACCACCATTGTTGTTCAGCTGGAAGTAGGACGCGAGCGTGGAGATCAAGTCCATGGCGGAGCCGAGCTGGGAGGCAGTGGTGTTGAGTGACGAGAGAGCCAATCCCACGCTCCCATCCTGCGACTGCACGTCGCTGAGGCCGGACAAGACCCCGATGGCGCCGGTCAGCTGCTCGTTGACCGTGGCGTTGAGCGCCGCCACCGAGTCCAGTGCCTGGTCAACGCTCTTCCGGAGCGAGCCCAGCGCGGAGACGAGCGACAGCGCCTGGTTGACCTGCGTCTCCAGGCTGCTCAGGCTCGAGAAGCTCGTCACGGCCTGGGTGATTCGCGCCTGGGTGGCGTTGACCGCGCTCTGGACCTGGAGCAGCATCTGGAGCTCTTGGTTTTGGTCCTGGTTTCCACCGCCGCCGGGTCCGCGAGGGCCGTCTGGATCACCAACTTTTGGGGGAAACCACGAAAGCTTTGAGCAATGCTAGAGACCTAGAGAGGCTTGGGAGACTTACCGGGTTGCGCGAGCTTGGGAGCCGCGAGAAGCGTCGCGAGGAGGAGGACGAGGCTCATTTCCCTGGCCATTCCTTTCGATTGGATCAAGAAGTGGAGCTTGGCGTGGAGATGGAGGAGTTCTTCTCGCGGATTTAAATGGGGGAGAGGCACTAAAGGCATGAATCTTTGCTGCCGCTTTCCAACGCGTCAAACCAAGGGTCATGATCGTTAGGCCGGGGAACACAAATGATGCTCGTAGACACACTCGAGCAATCACGTCAAGAGCTCCACTCGAGTGATGAGTATCATCCAGAAACCAAGGAATTGCACTTCCATCCTGGAAGAACTTTTTAAACCCAACTTAAGAAACGTGAGGTTCTATGCTCTCCTAGGTAGGGTTGCAAAGGCTATGGAAGCCACGCACGTCTTTCCAGGACTTGGCTCGTCATGGGTCTCGAGACCTTCGGCAGCATTCTTTTCCACTAGAGCTCCAATCCAAGGTACTCACCGAAAGAGAGATAGATAGCAAACTATCTCCAATCCAAGCTTGCAGGAAGAAGCAGACCACTCGCGATTCGCATTGTTGGTCGTGCGAGCAGCAATCGAGCGAGCAGCAACACGGGCAGTAGCAGCAGCAGCAGCAGTGGCGGCGGTGGCGGTGGCAAATCCAAATCCAAGAATTTGATCGAGATGGAAGGAGCAGTGACCGAGTCGCTACCCAACGCCATGTTCCGGGTGAGTCTAGACAATGGGTGTGAGGTGCTGGCGCATGTCTCGGGCAAGATTCGTAAGAACTTCATCCGGATGCTTCCAGGGGACCGCGTCAAGATCGAATTGAGCCCCTACGATCTCTCCAAGGGAAGGATTACGTATCGGCTTCGCGCGGACACCACACACCAGGAAACCAATACCAGCTAGAACGACTGTTTGCTTGCTCCAAAGCTTGCAAAGAATGATCTTTGTTCTTCTTTTTCTCGAAAATGCGTTGCGTAATAAGTTTCTTGGCTCGAAAAACTAGATTTTCCTTGGAACAAAGCGGTGCCTCTTTTTCTTTATTTGCTAGCTTCCTGTAGGGTTGGTCTATGGCGAAACGATCTTCTTCTTCTCGGCCTCGCTCTTCTCCTACGCCTCCGCTGAGAAGAATGAGAACTCGCTCTTGCCCTGCGCCAGATGAAGACTACGATTCTGATTGCATGATCATAGAAGTAGAAGAAGAAGAAGTAGTAGACGTAAAAGTAGAAGAAGTTGTAGATGTGGTAGTAGAAGAAGAGGAAGATGATGAAGAAGAGGAGGAGGAAGAGGAAGAAGAAGTAGTAGAAGCAGGAAAGGGTGTGGAGAAACCTGCTCCAGCAAAGGCTCATCGCGACGAGGAAAAATCTCAGAAGCCCACGGCTGAATCCAAGTACCCGACCATCGTCAAGAAGCAGAGGAAGCCGAGAACCCAGCGAAGCTTGTCACTGGTCAATATGATCATCAAGATCAACGATGACATCCGAGCAAGAAGGGAGAAAGAAGCGAAAAAAATGTGATTTTTAGTAAGCTTTCCGTAGATTCAAGTGTACTGTTCCAGTAAGCAAAGTACCTTGGAAATGAGTATCTTGGAAGTACGTTCTTAGCAAAGCCAAGATTTTTAGAGAGGAAGAGAGGTTTTGGGATGTCATCCCGGCTATGGCTGGGAATGCGAGGATGGATTTTGGGAAGCACAAGGGAGAGCTTATGGTGGAGCTGCCGCTGGAGGACAGGGTCTTGCACGAGTGGCACCACGGAGCTCGATTCTTCGAGTTGTTTTTCTTCTCAGGCCGGAGGTAAGGTTCTGGATTGCGAGGAGTATACCGGCGACGAGGCGGGAGCTCTCATTAATTGAAACGAAGAGACAAAAATCTCTCGAGGTCGGATCTTTGGAGCTCGGCTTCTCTCATCATGTGGCTGGATTGGTGCCGACGCCTCGAGAGATTATTCGTTGGTAACCGGGAGCACAAATCCAGCGATTGCTACGCCGATTTCATCTGCTGGTGTGGAGACCAGAGCGCCCACCGCAAGAACGAGACGTTCTTGCTAAACTTGCTGTTGGAGATGAAGCCCGGCAGTGTTTGACGTTTAAAAACGTTTTCTCGTGGAACACGATGCTGCAAGTCCACGTCCAGAACAATCGTCCCCACGAGGCTTCCATTTGGGAGAACGTCGGCTCTGCATTGGAAGAGGCATGGAATGGAGCTCTTCTCGCAGGTATGGGCTTCTTTGGTTTTTGAGGTGTTGGCATGCTTTCTCGGAAGAATTTCCTTGTGACTATTTTGTAAAGATCCAAGCACGTCACAAAAAGTTCTGAAGTTGCGAAAGAAAAACTTTCAGTTCCGCAACGAGATATTTTTTCTTTCTATGCGTTTACTGATGCTTCCTTGTAACGTTAACTCGATCTTACCATTTGTCTAAACTCAGTCAATGAAATATTAACATAGTTAATGAAAAGTCAATAGAACAAGCAGCTACAAATCAAGGTAAGAAATCTACTATTAATTGGAACCTGTCTCATGGAATCTAGTTTCCTCCATAAGCCTTGTAAAAGGTCCAAACTAAAGCCATAAACTTAAAGAAAAAAATTTGCCATACTGTAATTTAGTTTCAAAGGCATATATAGCCGATCATGCATGGCAATTTATGGTAAAGATGAAGCAAAACCTTGCTATACTTCAGAAGTACAGATAAGTGGGTCATGTCATAGATAATACTCAAACAATGTCCCATGATCCCAGAGATCTTTTCTTGCCTGGATTTAAAGCAGCAATAAGCATCATGCCCTGTGAAGAGGCCAAACATAAGACTAAGTTTAGAGAGTAAAGTAGTATTTCATGCCAAATCATTCAAGAGCTTCTCGATCATGTATACAACACGCAGCTGAGGTCACTCATATAACATACTCCAGCCTTAGATTCCATGCTAGCTTCTAGTGCACATTTCTATTCGATGATGGGGCTCAAAACCTTCTTGACTGTTGCTCTTGTCTTTTTTGAAGATCATCCCTTCCTCACCCAATAAGTAGCCAATTCTAGCATTGATCACCCTCTTGAGCACATCTCTAGCAGTATTGTCTTGGCTCTCTCAATCAAACTCCAGTTGATCAGGAAATGCTTGCCTCCTCCTCTTCTAACTTCTCAATGTATTGGACTAAAGATCATATTCTAAGAATATTTTATAGACTAGGGGATTAGGGTGGTTTACTCTTAAGCAGCCTGTTAAGTGGTTAGAGTTATAGAAAATTATTAATTTTACAACCCTTTAAAGTGAAAATTGACTTTTTTGTGACTAAACTTATAGACCATGTTTCTTTGTACTGGAAGACCAATTCAAAGTTAACTTTTTGGGGTGATTTGACAAAGATTTTCCATACTTCATTAGTCAAAAAGTTTGAAAAAGTTAATCTTTTAGACAAGTAATTAGAAATTAAACAAAAGACACTATCTATAAATGCATTTGTTGACAAGTTCTATAATCTTTGCTTTAGTCTAACAAACACTTATGATAAATTGTTTAGTGTGTAATGTTTTATCAAAGATTTGAGTTTGATAAATGTCCAGTATGAAGAAGGATTTTGCTAAACAATATTATCACCAAGGCTTACATTTTTGTGAAACCACTTGTCAACTAGGTCAACTTTGGTCAGTCAATAAATTAATAATGTATAATTAGGGAATAAATAATTATTACCACAAAACATTGATCAATGGAGTTATGAGTCTTGACAATCTCTTTTATAGTGCCACCAATTTTGACATTGCACTTTTAATTGATCCTTGGCTTTTTGTCATAGAACAATTCCTTCCAAGAATGACATTTATGCAACTAAAATCCATAATCCGAAATAAAAGATGATTAAGAATCTTTTGAATTTTCAAAGAAACACTTAGAGCTTATTTATTATTAAACACAAGTGCTATATCTTAAATAAACTATCACATGTTGAATAGTCTAATTTATCAACCCTAAAAAAAACTTGCTACATATATACCATAACCACTTTATAAATCTCTACATAAGAAAAAAAGTCTTGACTATCTTAGAATTCAAGTTGTATGTAATGCTATATCCATATACCATAACCATTTTATAGATCTTTTCATAAGAAAATAAAATTTCTGGACTATCTTAGAATTCAAGCTAAATATCCCTTCCAGCCTTTAACAGTTCTTTGTGCAATTCGTTTGTAAGCTCCACAAAGTTGATATAAATTGAAAACTTTGTTTTTCAATATGTCACCATAGCAACCACCATATTAGTATATCCATGATGGATTCTACCACAATCATCTTAACATTCCTTAACCTTTTCACAAAAAGACATTTGCTTTCCATTTTATAATTTTTTTCATTAGTCTAAACAAAATGTTTTAGCCTTATTGCCATCTTCATTCATCAAATCCATTAAGTAATGATATAAAATTGGCATGGGATAGTTTTTTTTTTATGGTATACTCATTTATTTATTTATGTTTGATTTAGAACATATGGGGATCAAGTGAAATGCATTTAGGAGAGATTTTGTGATGTATTTCTAAATGAGTTACTTGATGGTTTACCTCTATAATATGAGATTCATTATAAAATTTAATTAGTTCCTAGGGTTACTCCTAATTATAAACTGACTTGTACTAGTCTTGCTGAAAATGAGGAGATTATTAAGGTAGCATATTGAGTATTTTTAAAATAAGTGGTTGTAAATGAGCAAATCTCCTTGATCTACTTTAATACTAATGATCAAGTATATGATAGGTATATGATATCTTTGTGTAAATTACAAAGGATTCAATGATAAGATGCTGAAGAATATATTTCTAAACCCTTATCTCAATAAGTTGTTTAATAATTTTTATGTTGCTCGGTATTTTACGAATATTGATTTAAGGCAAGGGTACCATTAGATTTGTGTTTAATCAAAGAACATTCAAAAGATGACATTCTAGATAAATATGAGTTCTTACAGGTTTTTTATGATGTAATTTAGTTTAATAAATGCTCTTGCAATGTTTTAGAGATTGATAAATTAAGTTTTACAGCTTTATTTAGGGAAATTAATAATTATTTATCTTGTTTATATTCTAGTGTTTAGCTCTATAATGAAGGAACATGAAATTCCTTATTTAATATTAATGTATGGTATAAGAGTTGATTCTGCAAAGATATAAGTTATGTTTATTAATTTATGCCTTCGAAAATGCATATTGTTCAAGTTTTTCAATGGTTTATAAAAGATTTTTGGAGATAGTTGCTCCCTTAACTTATCTTCTCAAGAACATATTAAAACATGCTATTATTTGTGGTTGAGATAAAAGCTATTATGCTATATTTCAATGGTTAAAGCAATGTTGTATTTCTACTCTAGTATTGAAGCTCTTTAGTGGTTAAAACATATGCAAATGACATTGTTATTATGGCTGTATTATTATATATATGAGCTTTAAATTTGATGCCATATAGTGGAATTAACCTACTTGAAACAAGGAGTTGTGATGATATTATCTGTAAGAATAAACTTTTATATGGATTCAAGATATCATTCTCTCCAATATTTTAGTTGTTAGAAAGATCTTTAAATCCACCTTACTCATTAGCAAGAGTTCCTTTAATACATGTATAGAATGTATACATATAACAATAAAGTGGCTAATACATTATTCAAGATATCTTGTTTATTTAGGTATATTCTCTTTTCTCTTGTTTTGCTTTTTAGGTGTGGATCACAAGAAAAGCCCTCTATGCATAGAGAGAGAAATTTTAGATCTCTATATTTCTGATTAAATAAGACAACAATAGAAGGGGAAAGTGATTCACATACTTTAGAAAAGGAGATTTCTAAAGTTTCAATAATGCTTTAATGACTAATCAACTAAGAGGAGTGTTAGAAATGTATATTCTCCATGACATTAGAGGTTTACATAGCAAGAGTTACTATATCACAAATCATAGTCATGACTCTTAAGCAGATATATATATAAGCATAAGTAATGATAATAAACCAAAGCTACATTATCCACACTATATATTTTGACATATACACTCTCTATGATATAAGAGGTTTATGTGGCAAAAGTTGTCATGTCATAAATCTATATTGGCAAGAGTTATAACTCTTGAGTAAATTATAAATAATTAAATTTTCTATTCTACTTTAGTCACTTAATCACACCTTTAACCACTTGAAGAAGTTTTATTCACAAGTCCTCATCCCAACTTGGGGCATTTATTAGTCAAAGATATAATTTCAAAACCACACAAACTTCACACATGGCCCAAGTGTTTTATGTGTTTAATTCTAACCATCAACAAACTAACCTCTTACATTAAGGCTATATTCATTTTTATGATCTCATTAGTAGTCCAAGACTACTTATATCATAGTTTTATCTTTCCAAAACTAAGCCATTCATTCATAACATGATCATAACTTAATATCTCTATGAGATATAAGGAATATCATCCCCCAATATCCTTTCTTCAATACCTATCAAATCCCTCTTTATTTATAATAGTGTTCATTAACACCACCACAAGTTTAAAGTTCAAAAGCCCATCCACTAAGTTTTATTAACATCTAAGATTTTTTCGCCATATAATTATACCTTTGGTCATTAAGGAAGAGGATCATTCCTTTTCTTTTCCACAATCCAAAACTTTGAAATAACATTTGAAAACACTATAGTTTAAAATGAGCTTCATGGGTACTCCCCTCATCTTTTGCCACTAAAGTGCCCTAGCCATATGGGTAGAGTGAAGTTCTGATGAACCATATAAGATATCAAAGTAATTAATACCACCCACATTTAGATTAGGAGCATTAATCATTCAATCTTTTAAAGGAGTTAGAGTTGACTTTTGAATGCTTCACTGAGTCATTTTATTTGTCTATTCATATTCACTTTAGGCTTAGACTCTATAGTAGTTATATCCATATAAGTATAACCTTCCTTAGTCATATTGCTTCTTTAACTCTATTAATTCCACTAGAGTCTTCCCTTTATTATTTTACATGGACTTATTAAACATTTTATAGGTTAGGAAACAATTGTTTTAAGCTTTCAATTTTGGACTCAAATCCAAACTTTGGGCTTGGACTTGGACACAGTCTCGAATAAGGTTTTAAACCTAGACTTGGTCTTTAACTAAGTCTCAAACCCAATTTCAAACTTTTCTTTTATCCTTTTCCAGAAATTCATTTATCAATCACTTCATACTCATATTTTAAACACTTCTTTAGGAGTTTTATTCGCATTCTCAACTTTTTAAGTTGGAACTTTTTGTCTAAATGTGTTACATTCATTAGACTTTCACTTTGGTCACTACCACTTTGTTAACATTTAACTCCACTTTAGGATTTAGGGATTTATTTCTTACATAAATATATATATATAGACATGAGCCATAACAATATATATTGTCCACACTACACTTCCACTATGTCTTGACAAAATCTCATCCTTCTGAACATCATGGCAACATCATGATACCCAAGCAAATAAAGTTGATTATGTCCTGTATCTTAGCTGAGAAGAATGAGAGCTCACTCCTCAATAAGGAGATCCTCTGTCCACTTATGGACTTTACATCTCTCCAGAAACTGATCCTTCTGTATTAGCTTGTGTAATGCAGGTCAAGAAGGATGAACAAAGAATCATTTGTGCTCGGCTATGGAAAACATAATGAGAAAACAAATTAAGTAAAAGTCATCCAAGCCAAGTCATTCAAGAACTTATGAAGACTGTTGATCTTGACAGCCAAAGTTCCAGCCTTCGCTATATGATATGCTCCAACCTCATATTCCGTGCCAGCTTCTGGCATTTGTTCATCATTACTTTTGTCTTCCCAGAATTCTCACATCAATCACCCTCTTAAGCACATCGTCTCATGCCTTACCTCTCTCAATCAAACTATCACCTCCTCCTCTTCCCAGTCTTACCAGCATTCTCCATCTAGAGCCACTCCTTGTGCACTTCACTAAAGATCTCACCGTTTCCTCATCACCCAGCCAAATTGCAACTTCAACCAGCTCCCTCATGTTGCATCCACACTTCTCAAACGTGCCTGAAAAGAGCTCCAAGAAGAGCCATGTAACCTTCTCATTCTTCTTCACCCCAAACAGCCCGGCCACTTCATGCTCACCACAGTTTTCTTTAGATTCACCCATCTCACTCTGGTTTTCACATCTCCATGGAACTTCTCTGATGAAAGCTCTGATACCATGAAAGCAGAGGATGGGTACATATATATAGAAACTACTGCCACGTCTCGTGATCCACATCAGCACATCTCCGCTACTTATCTCAATGCCTCTCCTTGCAAATGCCATGGCAGCGTCATGACACCCTTGAAACTCGAGGTCCACTGCTTTCGAAAGCTTTCTCCTTCCTTCTTTCTGGAGCTTATCCAGTTTTTGTAGCTTTCCATCTCTTCCATCTCTTCCCTCTTCATATAGACGGAACTTGAGGCCTCCACGATATCCAAAGCCCTGGTGCTGCTTGGTTGATCTTCCTGCTTGTTCCTCCCATGAAGCCTTGCAGACTTCCAGCTTCTTCTCCCAAAACTCTTCCATCCGAGGAACGCTGCTCTCTCCCCACTTCTTCACTACCCGGACCAAGCATCTAGCGAGAAAGAGAGACACAGCAGGTGCCATGCTCACAATCTTCAATGCCTCCCTGTCATATCCACACTCGACGAAAAATTCCAGCAAGCGTGCCAAGAACTCGCCACTCTTGCAAACTTAATCCTCGCCCAGCAGCTTTTCTGCGAAGACCACCGCATCCTGCAAGCCACTCTCTCGCAGGCGCTCCGCAAAGCTTATAATTCCCGGCTTCTTATCTTTGCTCTCCGAGAGGCCCGGCTCAATCGCTCCGCTGTAGCATTCGTCCCATCCATACTTTTGCACCTGTTTCCATGAGATCAATCCCCTAATTCCTCATGACCGAGAAGGCCGCGTCACGAAAGTCGTGCTTGACACACCGTCCCACGCGTCACCTCGGACAGCTTGTGCTCGCAATCGCAGAAGAACACCGTCTGGAAGTAGCCCGTCCTTGAAGCAGCGCCAGAGAAATCAAAAGCCACACTCTTCGCGGATCTCCAGCTCGCCACCCTCGTGCCCAAACTGCATCGGGCTGCAAGATCATCGTCCCAAACATGCAATCTTCCTTCTCGGTGTCCCTGTGGAACTTGAAGTGGCCACCATGTTCGTACAACAGCAGCTTGTACGGTCTCACGTCCAGACCAAGCGCAGCGGCGTCGATCTCCATCTCCTCCATGTGACCAAGTCGAGGACCACCTTGGAGAACAAGTCTGGGACTTGGGGGCAGCTCACCTTGGACGCTTCGACTTGCCGGCGTCGAGGATGGTTTGATCGCCCTTGCCGAAGGGCGCTGGGGAAGCCAAAAGAGGGAGGGCAAGATCTCCATGCCCACCTCCGGCATGGCGAATTTGGTTGTGTCCTGTGGCACAATCCTGTGGCCTCGTCAGTTGCTGTGATTCTTCTTTAGAGAAGCGCTCATCTGCAAAGGGAGACCAAGAAGGAACCAGTTCTTAGTTCTCCATAAGTTTCTTGGCTTATTAGAGTTTTAAAACAGCGCCTCTCACGCTATCTAGTTGTTCTTTATCTTCTAGAAACTTAGAACTCTCTCCTCGTCGTATCCTCGGGCATCTTGCCACTTCGCTTGTTATTGGCAGAGCAATTCTTGGATCATAACTGGCCCTGCGGAGGAGGAAGAAGTAGTAGAAGAAGAAAGGGATGGTTCTTCTTTCCTGGAGAAACCTCCAGCTCGAGCTACCAAGATCGATAGAGATATCTTCCGTGGGCTCAACGTCGACAAAACAAGCCCAAAAAATGTAATTTGTTCCCATAGATTCCAATATTGAAATAAATTTTGTCTCCAAGTTCTTAGCAATTTAGAGACGAGATGGGAGGAAGAGAGAGATTTTAGGATGATGCGAAGCCTGGGAGGTACGGCGGCGGTACTAGATCATCATCCCGGCGATGGGCTGGAGAATGCGAGGATGGATTTTGGGAAGCACAAGGGCGAGCTCATGGTGGAGCTGCCCGATAGCTACTTGGCTTGGATCTCCCGGCGGCGCAAAGGGCGACTGGCGTTGTGGGCGCCGCTGGCGGACAGGGTCTTGCACGAGCGCCACTCTTCGACTTGTTCTTCTTCTCGGCCGCCCGGAGGTAAGGTTCTGGGTTGCGAGGAGGGCGACGAAGTGGATCCGATCGATGGGTTTAGCCTTGGAGCAGCGGTGGCGCTCTTTGGATGGTGTCCGGAGATCTCCGCTAGCGATGAGACATCTCCAGGGAAAGACGATGCAGGAAGAACTTTAGAAAGCGATGGAGGAGATATTTTGGATTCGAATGAAAGAAGAGAAGGGACCGATGGAAACCAAGAGAAAAAGAAAAGCTCTCTCCACCATGAGTTTAACAAGATTTTTCGGAAGCCTTGGAAGAATGTGGACCAAGGAAGCACTCTCTCCAGGCTTGGCAAGCTTGTGGTGGAGCTCCAAAGATCCGGGAACTCCACTGCTCGAAGAAAGCCCAGGCAAAAGCTCTACCGGGATCATGATCACGGGAATTCACGAGCGAAGAGGATGGTCTTTTCTCCGAGCTCCAAGCATCATGGAGACCAAGAACACCATGACAACGCCAAAGCCCTCGATAGATTGGCAGGATTGGTGGCGAGGTTTGATAGCCGGGGGCACAAATCCAGCGGTTGCTACGCCGATTTCATCCGCTGGTGTGGAGACACCGGAGCCGTGATGGATGGCAAGTTCGTCCACGGCCACCTCGCGAGCTCCCACCGCAAGAACGAGAAGTTCTTGCTAAACTTGCTGGTGGAGATGTATGGCAAGTGGAGAGACACGCTCCAAGCCCGGGCAGTGTTTGACGCGATCAAGCGTAAAAACGTTTTCTCGTGGAACACGATGCTGCAAGTCTACGTCCAGAACGATCGTCCCCGCGACGCGATCGAGCTCTTCCGAGCGATGGATTTGGAAGGCGTGGTGGCGCCAAACAAGCTCACATTCTTTGCTCTAATCGAGGCTTTCTCGGCCATGAGTGATGATCTCGACGATCGCGATCGAGATCGAGAGATCCAGGGCGATAGAGCTCGAGCCATCCGGGCTCTGGGAGATCGGATCGAGAGCAGTGGGTTTGGATCCGACCCATTCCTCGCGACTGGCCTCGTCAATCTCTACGGCAAGAGTGGGTTGGTGGACGAGGCGGTGGGGGCGCTGGATCGAATGCGCAGGGGCGACCGCGACGTGATCGCCTGGACCACCGCGATCGCGGCGCTGGCAAGGAACCGCGAGTTCCCGGCCGCGATCCACCTCTTCCGGGAGATGGCGCTCGAGGGCGCGCGCGCAAACAATCTCACGCTCCTGGCGGCGCTGGATGCTTGCGCAGGGCAGCGGGATCCCCGGAGTGGCGCTGTGATCCACGCCGCGGCCGTGGAGCTGGGATTCCAATCCAATGCCATCGTCGGCACCTCCATCGCCCACATGTACGCGAAGTGTGGCGATCTCGATCGCGCTAGCGCCGCCTTCGCGGGGATCACCGTCAAGGATTCCGTGGCGTGGAACACGATCATCGCCGCCCACGTCGAGAATCGCCGGCCCCGCGAAGCCCTCGACCTCTTCGAATCGATGCTCGAGAAGCATTCTTCTTCTTTCTCTTCGAGTTCTTTGAGTTCTTCGCTAGCGCGGCCCAACGCCGTGACTTTCATGGCGGCGCTGGATGCATGCTCGCTCGCGGAGGCGCCGCTGGGCCATGGGCGATCGATCCACGCGAGGATCCGCGGGGCGGGCCTGGAATCCAACGTGCTCGTCGCGAATTCGCTTGTGGATATGTACGTGAAATGCGGGAGCCTGGGCGAGGCGAGGGGAGTGTTTGACGCGATCGAAGCTCCCACTGTGGCGTCCTTCACTGCGATCATCTCCGGCTATGCTTATCAGGGCGACGCGGAGGAGGCGCTGGCGCTCTTCCGCCGGATGCAGCACGAAGGGATCGTCCCCAATCACGTCACCTTTGTCGTCGTGCTCTTCGTCTGTAGCCACCGGGGACTGATCGAGGAGGGATGGCGGCAGTACGGTTCCATGGCCACCGACTATGGGATCGCCCCCACGAAGGAACACTGGGATTGCGTGCTAGATCTCTTTGCTCTTTTGAAAAACAGGGGAGGGAAAAACCCTTAATTTAAGAACCCTAAAAAGGTGACAATCTAGTTTCTAGATGTGGTTCTTGCATCGTCAAAATCAGGGCTTCCATTCGGGAGGCATGGAATGGAGCTCTTCTTATATGTTCTTCTTCGTAGCCATCGGTTTTATCTCTTCTTTTGTGGTAAAAAGGGAGATGTGTGCAGATCTTTGGAGCAATTCAACAAGGTGTTGGATGCTTTCACCCGAAGAACTTCCTTGTGAGTGAATCAATTTTGAAAGATCCAAATGTACACCAGAAAACTGAAGTTGTGAAACACAGATTGGCAAAGGGGACTTTCACTGTTTTATCTTGACAGGTTATTCCAGTGGACTCTTCTCCTTGAGCAGAACTTTGCAAAAGATTTGAAGAAGGTGCTGCTCAGTTTCGAGAGGATACAAAGCTGGAAAACAACGACTCTGAGGAGGTTTGTATATACTTGCATTGGATCTCTCTCAGGCTTTATGGTGCTACTTTTGTGAGGCTGATTTAGAGGAGGCTCGTCATTTTCTTAGCAGATGGTTGGATTTTCTAAAGGAAGAAGCATTCTTCTATGCTTCCTTATATGCTGGGCTTTACTACGAAGCTTTGGTACATACTGTTTGTAATGTTTTTCGAAACCTTTCGCTGCTTTTTTTGCTGAAATCAGGGAGAATTGGAACCAGCAAAGTCCGCTACTGTGTCTGCGTGTGAAAGCAGCTACACGGATCAACGTAAGAATCATAACGAAAAGTAATCGTTCATACAGGGCCCGAGATTATATGGTGTCTGTGTGAAACACGCAAATGGTGCTAGTTCGGCCTTGCGGTTGCAGCTGCGCGATGCGGAGTTACTTTCTTCGAAGCTGAAATGCCTCTTGAAAGGGATCAGGTTCTCTCCCATAGACGAGGGTGTGCGAAGTGGAACTGTAAGAAGCACGAAGAGCTCCACTTTTGCGACCCAAGAAGCGTTCCGGAAGCAAAGTCGTTTGCAAAAAACCTAGGAGAGTGATTCATGTGTATAGCCGATGACAGTCTACATGATTGCATTCTCTTAAACAAGATTAATAAAGAAAAAGATCTCAAGCGTTCACACCAACTCGTTCAAGAGCTTACGAAGGCTCTCGATCTTGGCAGGCGAGGTTTCTAGCATTTGCTCATACTCGACACGCTCCAGCCTTGGGTTTGGCTTCTGGCGTTTGTTTGTGTTCTTATGTTCTTCATCGCTGCTGATCACCTCTTCATCGCCGGACAGGTAGCTAATTCGAGCATGGATCACCTCTCTCAACGCATCCCTAGAAACATCGTCCCATTCCTTGGCTCTCTCGATCAAACTACTGTCGATCCAAATTGTTCTTCGAAGTCTCGCAGGCGGGTCGTCCATAAGTGCTAGAGAACCTCTTCTTATGAGCTTAACTAGAGATTTCACCATTTTCTCATCGCCCAGCCATATCGCAGCTTCAAGCAGCTCCTTACTCTCGCATCCACACTTCTCGAACGCGCATGACAATAGCTCCAAGAAGAGCTGCGTCACCTTTTCATCTTCCTTCAAGCCAAACAGCCCTGCCGCTTTCTTCATGCTCACCACCGTTTCTTCTAGATTATCGCTCTTCTTCACAGCTTCATGAAACTTCTCGTCCTGAGCCAAGAGCAGCACAAATGCCTCCTCGCTACTAATTTTCATGTCTACGCAGCCAAAGATCTCCTCGAGGCTAATATCCTTGATAAAGCTCTTCCTTGCGAAGGCCATTGCAGCATCATGACACCCTTCAGACTCGAGTTTCACCGCAAAGTCCGCAACCTCTCCCAAAAACTCTCTCCTTCCTTTTTGCTGGAGCTTAGCCAGCTTTTCCTTCTTTTCCTTCTCTCTGTCACTTTTTTTTAAACTGTAATACCCATATCCATAGTCAAGCTCTTCTGCTCGTTTTTCCCACGAAGCCTCGTAGATTTCCAGCTTCTTCTCCCAAAATTCTTCGATGCGAGAGAAGCTGCTCTCTCCCCACTTCTTCACTACCTGGACCAAACAGCTACAAGAAAAATAAGAAACCGCCGGTGCGATGCTCACAATCTTCCATGTCTCATCATCACGTCCACACTCGACGAAAAAGCCCAGCAAGCATGTCAAGAACGCGTGGTCCTTGCAAACTTGATCATCGGCCAGCAGCTTCTGAGCGAAGATCACAGCCGCGTCCTGCAAGCCACTCTGTCTTAGATGCTCCGCAAACCTTAGAACCTCCGGCCACTTATTTTTCTCTTCCAAGAGCCCCTCAATCACCCTGCTATAGCATTCGTCCCATCCATACTTGTGAACCGCTGCAACCATAGCCTGTGATGTTTCCATGAGCTTAATCCCCCAGTTCTTCATCACCAAGAATGCTGCGTCACGAAAGTCGTGCCTGACGCAAAACTCTAGCAGAGTTTCAAAAGACTTCTTGTATTCACTTGGGCCTCTGCTTTCCAAGGCAGATATGTATCTCTCTAAATCGCCGCTCGTCCGGCCAGGCTCGCGTTCGTGCTGCTCCTCGAGCAAGGTGACTACACATCTGACTGGCTGTCTGTTGCATAGCACGTCCACTATGTGCTCCTTCGGCCACACTAACAGAGCCGCGGTGTGATAAAACGAGTTTTTGTCACCGCCAGCATTCCCATTGTATGGTTCGTATTCCTTAGCATCTGGTGAACCGCCGAAAGGATCTTTGTCGGAATCCTGGCACCTCACGACCTCTGTGTCTAAATCCAAGCAACAGTCCCGGAAGTGCTCCAGTTTTCGACCATCTATCGCTGTCCAGTTCTTGACGCTGTAGTTCGTCTTGAAGCTGTCAAACACTTCGTTACGAGTCTTCTGCTTTACAATCGTGCAAAGATGGACGTCGAGAAAGCTTGTGCAGCTCAGCACAAGCGCCGCCACAACCCTGTCGTGTCCCCTGAGCCCCGCAAAGCTGAAGCTGTTGTTTGAGTACTTGTGACCAAGCGGAATCGCGAGCATCAGTGATGGCGTTCTCCTGGCCCATTCCTTCAGCTGGCTTTGAACGCTTCTCACTGTTGACAAGTAGTGTGGAACTTTTCCTGCATCCACGTCTAGAAACTTTGCATTGCTGCGCACCAGGCTAAACACAAGGCAGAGCCTCGTCCCGCTCGTCACCTCGGCCAGCCTGTGATCGCAATCGCTGAAGAAAACCGTCTGGAAGTAGCCCGTCCTCGAAGCAGCACCAGAGAAATCAAAAGCTACACCCTTCTTCCCGTGACGAATTTCCAGCGCACCGCCCTCGTGCCCGGACTGCGTAGGGAGCTGCAAGATCATCGTCCCAAACATGCCGTCTTCCTTCTCGGTATCCTTGTGAAACTTGAAGTGGCCACCCCGTTCGTACAGCAGCAGCTTATAAAGTCTCACGTCCAAGCCAAGCGCGGCGGCGTCGATCCCCAGCTCCTCCATCGCGGGAACGGCCAAGTTGAGCACCACCGCCGAGAAAAAGTCTGGCATCTGGGGGCAGCTCACCTTGGACGCTTCGACTTGCCATGCGCGGCGGATGGTGGTGTCGAACAGCGTTTGGTCGCCCTTGCCGTAGGGTGCTTGCTGCGACACAGCCTTGAGCTTGAGGAAGCCATCGCTGGAGAGAGGGAGGGCGAGATCCCCAGCTCCCTCCACTCGCAAGGAGGTGGGCATGGGGAATTTGGTTCCATCGACCTCGCCTCCACTAGCAAACTTTGGGCGAGAAGACCACAGTACTTTGAGAAGCGCCTCGTAGTCCATGAAATAAACCCTAAAACAGATTACTAGTAATTGCCCATGATTAGAGGTTCATAAATAAGTAATAAACTTTGGTTTTTCGAGCACTGGACTTTGCTGAAGTCCACAAGTGCTGCGTGTGCCGAGTTGCATTCTTCCATCCTGAATGCAAAGGGGCAGACAATTGTATCCAGGTCCGGCTAGGAATTAAGCTCCATAGCCTGAGAGATTGCAGCTATGAAACCGGAAACCATTACACTGCAATGAGAGCCACACTTGGATGAGAAATGCACCTCTCCCATCAGCATCCGCGCGTTGCCATAACCTAGCCTAGACTGTGGAGCCAGCCAAGTCAGGGGTGCATTGGCCTTTCAAACAGAACTATGCTAGTTTACAAAGAGAAAAGAGGATGGGAAGAAGCTTTCACAGAAACCATAAGTCTTCATCCCAAACTTTCATCCTAGATCTTGAGATAAAAGAGAAACTCAGCACTCCTTTGCCAAAGTAGCTCACTGTCCATGCAAGACGAGAGGACGAGCTAATAGCCCGTTGCTCCGCCGCAAAATGCAAGGTCCAGCCATGGAATACACGAAAAATGCAAACTCATAGAACTCAATCCATGCCATTTGATTTTACGTTGGTGTCATCCCAAAAATGCGGGTGCAGGAGAGGTAAAAGAAATGGAGTAGGAAGTATGGTTACTCGGGTTGCTTAGTAAATGGGTCGCTGACCCTTGATCACTTGCCCCCCCGGTGACCAGTCAGTATGGTCAACCCCACCATGATAGCGCTTGGTACCCAAAGGAGGCCCAAATATCTTTTTGTAAAAGTTTGAAGTGATCTTCCACACCTTACTGCTCTTCCTCCAGTAACGGCAACTTTATTTTCCACAAACCTTCACAATGAGCTGCTTGCCATCGTTGAGCTGCACGCCCCCCAACTAGCACCAGCAGTCAATTTTGCACGAGGATCATCCTGGAGCCATTTTGGTCTGAGGTTATTTTTCGTTCTTGATCCATACTATTTTGATGTCTGTAAGAAACAGCGCCTTAAACCCGAAAAGCATATATGCTCTCATTTGCATCTTCTTCACTGTTACTTCGTTCCATGTTGTATCTTAATATCTGCATCTTCATTGTTTGTGCCATAAAATTAACATCAAGCGGTAGAAACAAAAACTTTCGTTTACTGTTTTCAGGCACATTTCTGTCAAATGGCACCTCTTCTCGGTACTTACTGAGAGTCCCTGTGCCTCTGGTCGTTCGTCTCTGAGAGGTATTCTCCAAGGAAGCTGGAATGTAGGCTGTGACAAGAGCCAAAGTTTGAAAACTATGTTTTGTTCGCTCGTTTTGGCCTGCAAGGAGAATGGGAAACAATTATCGAAGAAACCATACCGTATCAAACGAAGCCATTGTTGTAAACTAGAGGAAGAAGCTTGTGGCGAACAACTTGTTCTTCTTTTACGTCCTCGAACCAGCCTCCAAAGCTTACCAAGTCTTCATCCTGGACTTCCCTCCTGCATGAGCGTGATCTTCACCGCAAACAAAAACCAAAGACCTTGCGTGTTTTGTGCTCAGCAAGCGCGCTCCATCGCCAAAGTAGCTCACTGTCCATGCAAGACGAGAGGACGAGCTACTAGCCGGTTGCTCGGGCGCAAAGTGCAAGGCTCAGCCATGGTGGACAGTCCTGGATTCACAACAATACAAACTCATGGAAGTCGAGAGGAAAGAACTACTTACGCGTCTCCAGCTGCGAGTTCTCTGTAAGTTTCGATCGAGTATCCCTTCGCTCCAAGTTGTCCATCCCTCGGTTCGATTACCAATACGGCAGAGCAAAGTCCGTGTGAGAAACGCACAGAAAGTGGAGCGTGGAGTCTGTTTGTGACGTGAAATCCAAAACGCGAGGAAGGATTTTGTTGAGATCAGAGTGCCAGTTGGTGACATTGAATCCTGGGAGCTTGATGAAGAGACAATCCTGGTACAAGCGAACCTACGAATTCAGAGACGAAGTTCTTATCTTAGAAGAAGGAAAACGAAAAGCTTATCGATCGACTCTGTTTGATCCCAGGAGCTCCGCTACGGCCTGGCAGACTCGAAGGTGGAAGACGAATTCGTCCAGAGAAGAAGCTCTTCGGTGGAAATGGAAGAAACCAAGTTCCTCATAACAAGAGAGAAAAGCTGATTATCCAAAGATATGGACGCTCTGGGCTACGCAAATCGATGCCCGGGCACAGCACCGAGACGCGGTGTTTGTAAGCCGCAAGCATTTCTTTACATTTGGGCATGGATCCTGCCTGAGAACCTTGATCTCACCGCTGGAGAACAATCCCGGGGAAGAACAGCTCCAAACCATAGAACAGAGGAGCGGAATTGGCGAGTTTGGATGGATGATCCATTCCTCCTCTCTTCCTTCTTGCGCAACGAGCAGCAAGTAGAAGATTTCCCTCGCAGGATAGCCAATGTCGATCGACTGATATCTGTAAAAGAAAAAAAAAGACACGACGAGTACACGTGGACGCCTATGATTCCTCGCTACGCTCTCAGTGGCAACACGGGCAAGGCTATGGCTGTGTTCCAGAGCGTCGGCGCAAGAATAGAACGCTATAATCTCGGCATTTACCCAGGCTGGGGATTTCTCCATGGCGAAAGATCCCTTTGACGCAATGCCTGCTCCCAATATTGTGTCGTGGAAACTATGCTGAAAACATACGTGGATGCATGTAACCTTAACGGGCCGAAGCGACTGTTTGCGATTATGCCAGAGCAAAGCTCAATCACCTGGAGCGTAGCATTTGCATGGTTTGGGCATGTACAAGATGGCGAGAGTTTTTTTCAGATCATGCGAGAAACCACACTCGACGATCCCAGTTGCGCCGATCACTCCAAGATCGACAAAGCTCGAGCAGTGTTTGATGCTTTGGCGTGCCTGGACATGGTCTCCTGGAACACTTGCTACGCACCCGACGTCCACCACTGCAAAGATTTCTTTGAGAAAATGCCCGGCCCCAACCTGGTGTCTTACAACACTCTCTTGTCCTCACTGGTCAGCTGCAGATTATCCGGGGAAGCAGTGAAAATCTTCGTCGAAATGCCAGAGATAAACACCGTGACGTCCACTGTGATGATGCAAGCTTATGCGCGGGAAGGCCAGCTTGCCAGTGCCAGGGACATCTACGAGACAATGCCGGATCGCAGCTCAGTGGCTCTCATCACAGCCCAATCCTTGAGAACAGCCTTTGAGCGATTTGAAAAGAAGCAGGAGGCCTGGAGCTCGATCATCGCGGCCTATGTCCAGAACGGACGCGTGAGCGAGGCACTGGATCTCTTTAGAGAGATGCATCTTTCTGGCTTTCAAGCCAGACGAGACCATCTTCACAACAATCCTAGCAGCGGCGGCGAGCCAGCTCGAGCAGTGTTGCCGAGATTTTTGTCCATGATCGCAGACTTTGGGATCTCTCCCAGGGCGAGTCAGCTGGAGCAATCCAAGCAATCCGGGCTTGTGGATGATTCTTCTGGGTAGAAAATCCATCGAATTGAAAAGGTTGTCGAAATGTCGGCTGGAAAATCCAATGGTACTTGCAAACTCGGGATAATGCCAGGTTGAGAACCGACAATCCTAGTCATCCCGGGGATGCGGGTGTTGTGCCATGTAAGCTGAAAACCTATCCCACCAGCCAAGGCGCAGTAGAGGAACAGCGGTATAAAAGAAATGGAGTTGCAAGAAGGGTCAATCCGGGAGAGCCTGAAAGGGCGCTTGCATCCCTCGGGTTGCTTAGTAAATGGGGTCGCTGACCCTTGACCACTTGGCCCCCCTTGTTTGTCGGTGACCCAGTAGTGCTAAGTCGGTATGGTCAACCCCACTGTGACCTACTGGATAGCGCTTGGTACCCAGGGCCCGAGAAAGGATAGAGGATTGTGCTCCAAACGTTACACTTCTTTGCAAGTCGGGCAGGTGTTAGCGATTGTGACGAAGGGTCTCCAAGCTAGAGAGGTTTGATGAGGGATGTCTTCTACAAGAACAATAGCATGGATGGGGCTAACAGGGAATAGCATGGATGATACAATAAATAATCCATGAAGCTTATGGTAAAAATAAAGGTAAATAGTATAAATTAAGATTAGAATTAATATCTTTTCACAATCCTTTATGCTAACATCTATCATTTTATTGGCAAACATCTTTTTTGTTTTTTTTTTCTTTCTTGTACCAATTCACCATAGCCAATTCTCATTTTTGCTGTAATTATTTCCATGGCTTTAATTGCTTGTTAAATTGTGCCAACCTCCTCTACCAAAAGCAATTGGAAGTTCTTGTTGTCCCCCAATGCTCTACTTGTTATGCAATCATTCAAACCTACAACCAAAAATGGTGAGTGCCAAAAGGGAAACTAATTTGGCATCACCAAATTCAAAGAACTTTGTTAGACTTGGTGATCATTGATTCCATGTCTGGCTCTACACACTGGAAAACCCTATTGTCATTTTCCTTTGCTTCATCAGCATTAGATGGGTTCAACATTGTGTTCCAGTGTGTAGATGCGGGTACATTATATCTCCTTCTTCATGGCTCTCTTATTCCACATATGCCACATTCTTTATAAATGTTGGCAAAGTAGTTCCATTACTAGTAGATGCTTTTGAAAGAATAGTAAAGGAATATTAAGCTTCTAATTACAATTAAAATCTCTTTTTCTTAGCCAACATGTTCCAGTGAATTGCACATTAGTGTTATTGCTATTATTGCCAATCAAAGCCAAAGAAGTTGATGCTATATAGTAACATGGCTTGAGGGAGCTCTCACCAAACTTCAGTACCTTAAAAAGGACAACTGAGTTCCTTAAAGAGGACAACCAAGCCATTCGACTCTTGACAAATAAGAACATTCTCTAGTGGGATTGCTAAATAAAGCTTTTTGGATTCTCTCCCAATAGTATATTAAGTTATCTGTAGAAAAAAGGCATTGGTCTAATGATCTTGATGCAAGTTCATTTAGTTGCTGGGCAATGAGAAAATGAAATGTCTAGTTAAGCTCATGGTTCTCTAGCAGTTATGGGCTACCACCAATATAATCCTGAGATACTATGAAGACAATGCAAGTTGGATTGACAGTAGTTTGATCCAGAGAGAGAGAGGTGATTAATGCTAATTAGCTACTTGTCTGGCGATGAAGAGGTGATTAGCAGCGATGAAGAAGACACAAACTCCAGAAGCCAAACCCAAGACTGGAGCAAGATCGAGAACCTTCATAAGCTCTTGAATGAGTTGGTGTGAACGCTTGATTACTAATCTTGATTAAGTATGACTTTAAGAGAATGCAATCACGTGAGTGACCTTGCCGTCTTCTTTTCTTTTTCTCGTTTCTCTCCTCTTATCAGGAACGCTAGAAGTTGCTCTTAGGTCGCAAAAGAGGGAGTCTTATCCAGTCGACTCGTCAACTTTGCACACGTGCTAGTTCGGCCTCGTGGTTGTGAACATACGTTCTTAATGCATCTGAGTCGATGTCTGTTACCTCCACAGATGAGGGTGTAACTAGCACCATTTGCGTGTTTTGCAATGTACTTTAGCTACGGACACCATATAATCTTGGGACCTGTTAGAACGACTCTGGTGAGTGTTTCTTTTTTGTTTTTTGGTTATATTTCTTACGTTGATCCGTAGCTACTTCCACACGCAGACATAATAGCAGACTTTGCTGGTTCAAATTCTCCCTAATCTCAACAAAAAACGCAGCAAAAGGTTTCGAAAAACGTCACAAACAATTCGTACCGAAGCTTCGTAGTAAAGCCCAGCATACAAGGAAGCATAGAAGGATGCTTGACCTCTATCTTCCTTTAGAAAACTAGCCAGCATCTGCTAAGAAAATAGATAGAACTTTGTGTTGATATTGTAGAGAGATACCTGTTGAGGATCGCCACCTTGTTTGTAAAGCTTGTAAATTTGGTTCATATAAGCCCTGCTATCTTTACCTGTCTGGAAAAAATGAAAACTAATAGTTGAGAAATTGATAAGAAATAAAAACCATACGTCTGGGATTCTTTGACGAGCCTCCTCTAAACTATAAGATCGGGCCTCACAAAGGAAGCACCATAAAGCCTGAGAGAGAGGAGAGAAATCCGATGTACGTTTATAGAAAGAAAAATTACCTCCTCGGAGTCGTTGTTCCCCAGTTTTGTATCCTCTCGAAACTGAGCAGCACCTTCTTCAAATCTTTTGCAAAGTTTTGCTCAAGCTCTCAAAAGGGAGAAGAATCCACTACTAACCTGTCGAGATAGAACAGTGAAAGTCCCCTCTGCCACAGATCTGTGTTCACAACTTCAGTTTTTCTGGTGTGTGTTTGGATCTTTAAAAATTGATTCACTCACAAGGGAGTTCTTCCGGGAAAGCATCCAACACCTTGTTGAATTGCTCCAAAGATCCAGACACATCTCCCTTTCCACCACAGAAGAAAGAAACCAAGGAAGCTCAGAGGATAAAACGAGTAAAGATGGCTACGAAGAACATATACCTGCGAGAAGAGCTCCATTCCATGCCTCTTCCAATCCAGAGCCGACATTCTCCCGAATGGAAGCCTCGACGATGCAAGAACCACGGCTATGGCAGCAATAGCCGCTCCAGTAACACGCCTCTCCCACGCCGGCCTTCTTCCATCTCCAAACTTCACGGCTCTAGACGCTGGAATGGGCGGAGCAAGCGACAGTCGTGGAATTCTATACCCAATGGCCACCGCCTTCCACGCCATAGCTCGGCCTCTTTGCACATCGGACTGTCACCTCTTCTTAAATTAGCGTTGCTCTTCGATCGGAGCTTTTGAAAAACAAGAGATCTAGCAGCTGGTCACGGAGGCGGATGCGGCACGAAGGGATCCAGCGCCTTCTTGGCGTCGCAGCGAGAGATGATCGCCGTGAAGGATGCCACCGTGCCCCGAGACGACCATGTTGGATATACGTGCTCGCTCGCGGCGGCGCCGCTAGGCTGTGCCGCTGTGGGCGATCGATCCACGCTCCAGCCGCCATGAAAGTGGGGATCGCCATCAAGGACGCCGCCCACTTCGAGAATCGCCCTCGACCTTTTTGAATCGATACTCGCTGTGTGAGCGCCAAGATCACGGTGATGAGTTGAGATCCGGCATTTTCTCGTAGATGTCCCTGGCACTCACAAGCTGGCCTTCCTGTGCATAAGCTTGCATCATCACAGTGGATGTCACAGCGTTTATCTCTGGCATTTCGACGAAGATTTTCACTGCTTCCCCGGATAATTTGCAGCTGACCAGTCAGAGAGTGTTGTAAGACACCAGGTTGTGGCCGGGCATTTTCTCAAGGAAATCTTTGCAGTGGTGGACGTCCGGTGTGTAGCAAGCGAACATGTCCAGGCACGCCAAAGCATCAAACATTGCTCAAGCTTTGTCGATCTTGGAGTGATCCGCGTCTAAAACAATCATGTTGGAAGCAGCTGGGATCATTGAGTATGATTTCTTGCATGATCTGAAACAAACTCTCGCCATCTCCGCAAATGCTTGAAGAATCACGCTCCATCACTCTGGCATAATCGCAAACAGTCGCTTTGCCTCGTTAAGGTTACAGACATCTGTGTAAGTTTTCAGCATAGTTGTCCACGACACAATATTGTGAGCAGCAAGCCACTCCCCATTAAGGTCAGCACAAAACATGTCAGGTCTTTGTTTCTCTTTCTGGTATTTCTTTTTATCCCAAAATCATGATCACATAGCAGCAAAGTTCAGGATGAATACTTAGTAAGCTTAAAAGAATGCACATCCTCTGGTTTATAACAATGTCTTCATTAATATGGTGTGGTTTTTGTGATGGTTACATTTCACACTTTGTTCTTCAGACAAAAGGAAACATAAATGAAGGGCCTCAAATGTGGCATTTGTCACACGTACATTTCAGCTTCTTTCGGACAAAGGTTGTGGAAACCACTAGCACCGAAATGAGAATGTTAATTTTTAATAGAAAAAGAAAAACCGTGGAGAATATAATACATTTTCTTGCTTGATTAGATATGGACAGAAACATGGGACTGAGAAACCATGAACACATAAAAACAGAAAATTCTTAGTACTGAACAGAGTTGTTAGTTGTTTGCTTTGACAAAAGTGTGATTTGAAAAAGCCATAATTAAATGTTTCTTTGGTGATTGATGATCACAACCTACAAATGATCCATATTGAGTGTTTTCAGCCATGGAGTCTTAAACTGGAGTCAAGAAAAATCAGTGGATTGATCTACTTTGATACATGCTGTTGACTCGCATAGATGTACTTCATCATAGTCCTCGCAAAGGCTCAAACTTGGAGGCTGTGATTTGAAAGAAAATAATAATCTTCTGGATTTGAGCTTTAGAGTAAATAAAAACTGAAGTTTACAATGAAAAAGGTTTAATATGACAAGTAATTTCTTTTGGTACTGGTTATACAAATAAAACTCTTTCTTACAAGAGAAATGTGAAATTACTGAATGCTATTTGTAAAATAGGCATTTATATGTCTATAGAAGCAGTACTAGATTCTCTAGTATATTCCACCAGGGTCAATGGTTAGATGATATGTTTTAACATGGTTTGGGTTGTATGGTTAAAATTTCTGGTAAATTTATTTAAATTAATCTTAAGTATAGATTAAAAGACTAAAGTTAGAAAAAGCTAAATTTAGATTTAGATCTATAGCCTAGAGTTTTATTTGTAAGCATTAGCAAATAGGATTCTTTGAATGACTTCTAATCCTTTATGCTAACATCTATTGTTTTATTGACAAACATCTTTTTTGTTTTTCTTTCTTGTGGTTTTTAGCCAATTCACCATAGGTCTCATGTTCTCATTTTTGCTGTAGTTATTTTCATCGCTCCAATTGCTTGTTAAATTGTGCCAACCTCCTCTACCAAAAGCAATTGGAAGTTCTTGCTGTCCCCCAATGCCTTTCAGCCTCCTTTGTGTCTTCATTAGAAGCAATTGTCTACTTGTCATGCAATCATTCAAACCTACAACCAAAATTGGTGAGTACAAAAAGGAAAACTAATTTGAAAATGTGGCACCAATAAATTCAAAGAACTTTGTTAGATTTGTGATTCCATGTCTAGCTCTACACACTAAAAAACACTATTATCATTTTCCTTTGCTTCATGAGCATTAGCATTACTAGTCATGTGTTCAACATTGTGTTCTTTTATATTTCCTTCTTTGTCGCTTTCTTATTCTACATATGCCACATTTCTTATGAATGTTGGCAAAGTAGTTCCATTAGATGTTTTTGAAAGAATAGCAAAGGAATATTAAGCTTCTGAAATGTTAGGAATTTAATTATAGCCAATATGCATAAACTTTTTTCTGGAAATGTGTTACTGTTATTGTTATTATTGCCAATCAAAGCCCAAGAAGTTACTATATAGTAGCATGGCTTGAGGGAGCTCTCACCAAACTTGAGTACCTTAAAAAGGACAATCAGGCCATTCGACTTGTGTGATCTCTTGAGAAACAACTTGCCTATGAGCATTCTCCAGTGGGATTGCTAAATAGAGGTTTCTAGATTTTCTCCCTATAACATATTGAGTTATCTCTAGAAGAAAGGCATTGCTAAATCTCCAAGAATTCTATGATCTTGATGCAAGTTCATTGTAAGCTCCTGAGTTTGGACTTCCCGGGAGGTTTAAAGGACCCTGCTGCATCACGAATCTCTTTTGGCGAGTCGGGCTGTTTGGGAATGCAGCCTTAAGTGGGTGGTAAATTCCATCCAAGGCTAAATGCTGGTGAGAGACCGATAGTGCACAAGTACCGCGAGGGAAAGATGAAAAAGACTTTGAAAAGAGAGTTAAAAAGTGCTTGAAATTGCTAGGAGGGAAGCGAATGGATGCCTTGTGCGCCCCTTGGTTGTGTGTGGAACGGCGAGAGCTGGTCTGCCAAGAAATGCAAGGGGCTGTCCAGCATGGGAGGACGCGGCGGGATAACGGCTTGTGAGCCTCTGGCTTGCCAATGCCACTGCCGCCTCTAAAAATGGCAGAGTGCTCTGGTGCCCCACCAGATGCTGGAACTTGGGCGTTCCATCCGACCTGTCTTGAAACACGGACCAAGGAGTCTAACATGTATGCGAGTCTGTGGGTGTTAAACCCATACAAGCGAAAGGAAACTAATTCATGGGATCCCCTTCTGGGGTGCACCACGGACCGATCTTGATCTTTTGAGAAGGGTTTGAGTGTTAGCATACCTGCTGGGACCCGAAAGATGGTGAACTATGCCTGAGCAGGGCGAAGCCAGAGGAAACTCTGGTGGAGGCTCGTAGCGATACTGACGTGCAAATCGTTCGTCAGACTTGGGTATAGGGGCGAAAGACTAATCAAACCATCTAGTAGCTGGTACCCTCCAAAGTTTCCCTCAGGATAGCTAGAGCTCTTGCTGAGTTTTATCGGGTAAAGCGAATGATTAGAGGCATCGGGGGTGAAACACCCTCGACCTATTCTCAAACTTTAAATAGGTAAAGCAGCCGGGGTTGCTCTGTTGAGCCCCGGCCGTGAATGCAAGCTCCAAGTGGGCCATTTTTGGTTAAGAAAATCGACTAGGCTGTTTTCAGTACATTCGTCCGAGGTGTAGGATCATTTGCCCGATAACCCGGTACCGACCACGACCAAAACGACTTCCCTAAGCAATTCCTATGTCACCTCCTATGGTTTGGGTGTTCGGGGGGTACCTGTATCATGGAAGACGAGGATTAGTAATGCAATCTCTACTAGCTCTATCTCTCATTTTGTGAAAGTACGAAGCTAAGTTTCAAAACTGAACTGAGATTTGCACGACTGATGCTCGCGAGCCAATGTACTCACGTACATGCCTGGGCCGCACATCAGAAGTGACTTCCAAAGATTAGAACTAAGGAACATGCTCAACCTGATCACTATCCGTTGACTCATGGATCTCGCCATCTGGACCAGTCGCTGTCATCCCGTCTTTTTTCTAAGCAGATGATTAGAAGCTGGAACAGTCGAGAGTACAAGCACTACCTGGGCAGAGTTAGTGAGAGCCGCTTGTGTCGTTGTGGTGTTTAGTTCCAGCGCTCTGGCCGAGAGAGATTCCTACAGGCCAAGGGTAAAAAACTGCAGAAAAACGAATCATTTGTACCCGTTTTTGCATGGCCAGGAATGCAGTAGTGAGATTCCTCGCGACCTTAGTGGTGGGTGTAAGCTCGTTTTGAGCTATCCCCAAACAAACACTTCGTTGGCACTGCTCATTCTTGCGGTGTGCAACGAAGTGGCTGTTGATCCTGGAGTGGGCGAGAATTGTGTGTGGTTGTGCTAGCGCACAGCCTTGCAATGGCCCAAGCTTGCTCTGCTTGTGGATGCGCTCCTGGAGAATGCGGCGGCGGCGGATGCAAGCGAGAAACCCTAACATTAGGGTTTTTCCCGTTGCTTCATACCTTTCGGTGTGAGAAAATCCAGCACCCACAGCCATGAAGTCGAATAGCTATAGCTTGTAATTAGGTTTGCCTATCTGTATAGCATGTTTCTTTGCGCGAGATTCTGTGAGGAATCCAAGGTTTTGTTTTTTACCATACCACGTCTACTCATGTATCCCATTAGTTTATTCATGGGGAAAACCAGAGTTTTCTGTAAGTAAGGTTTCCTTAAAAATTATTTTTAAGGAAGACCTTCCTGTGATTAAGGCGTGGGATATGTCTCACAATGAGAGAACAGCAACTTGTGTTGTTTTTTTAAAATTTACCAATCAAAACACAGTTGTAGTCAAAGGTGTGCTTACA